TCTGGAGGTTGCGGGGGCCGAGGCGGGAGGGTCTGGACCCGGGATCTGGAGGTTGTGGGGGCCGAGGCGGGAGGACCGCTTGAACCCGGGATCTGGAGGTTGCGGAGGCCGAGGCGGGAGGACCGCTTGAACCCGGGAGGTGGAGGTTGTGGAGGCCGAGGCGGGAGGACCGCTTGAACCCGGGATCTGGAGGTTGCGGAGGCCGAGGCGGGAGGACCGCTTGAACCCGGGAGGTGGAGGTTGTGGAGGCCGAGGCGGGAGGACCGCTTGAACCCGGGATCTGGAGGTTGCGGAGGCCGAGGCGGGAGGACCGCTTGAACCCGGGATCTGGAGGTTGTGGAGGCCGAGGCGGGAGGGTCTGAACCCGGGATCTGGAGGTTGTGGAGGCCGAGGCGGGAGGATCGCCTGAACCTGGGAGCTGGAGGTTGCAGAGGCCGAGGCGGGAGGACCGCTTGAACCCGGGAGGTGGAGGTTACAGTGAGCCAAGGCGGTGCCACTGCCCTCCAGCCTGGGCGAGAGAGCAACACTGTCTTGGAAAAAAAAATCCACCTGACTACAGACTAGTGGCACTACGAGTCAGTCACATTTGGGCCGGGCGCAGTGGCTCACCACAGAATCCCAACACTTTGGGAGGCTGAGGCGGGCGGATCACCTGCGGTTGGGAGTTCAAGACCAGCCTGGCCAACATGGAGAAACCCTGTCTCTACTAAAAATACAAAATTAGCCGGGCTTGGTGGCGCGTGCCTGTAGTCCCAGCTACTCTGGAGGCTGAGGCAGAAGAATCCCTTGAACCCGGGAGGCAGAGGTTGCGGTGAGCCGAGATCTCACCATTGCACTCCAGCCTGGGCAACAAGAGCGAAACTCTCTCAAAAACAAAACCAAAATCATATTTGACTAACTCCACAGGCTGCCTGAAACGCAGGTGATACAAGACACGTCCTTGAACTGGGGCGGGGGGAGGTGGGTGGGCGTTCACAGAGAGGCGCTGGATTATTAAGTGAAGTCAAGTCCACCTGCTCGGTGTAGCCTACGATTTTTACTACAGTAGAACCTCTCACAGCCATGCTGAGGGACAAACCACCGTGTCATTCATCTGATATGTAGCGAGTATTTTCAGTTATGAAATACACACGTAAAAATACGTAAGATGCCACCTCTGCCCTCATGGAATTTACCATGTAGAACTGCGTTTAAAACCACTACCTTTTTTTCACGTAGTGTAACCAAATGCACAATTCGAGGTATTTACAGACTTTTGCTGTATTTTTGAGGTAAGCTTGACGCTAATATATATTTAAATCCTTAAATGTCCCATTGAATCATCTTGCATGTAAAACTCTAATTTTGGCCATGCTTGGTGGCTCAAGCCTGTAATCCCAGCACTTTGGGGTGGGCGGATCACTTGAGATCAGGAGTTTGAGACCAGCCTGGACAATATGATGAAACCCGGTCTCTACTAAAAATACAAAAATTATCCAGGGGTGGTGGCACATACCTGTAATCTCAGCTATTCAGGAGGCTGAGGCAGAAGAATCGCTTGAGCTCGGGAGGCAGAGGTGCAGTGAGCTGAAATTGTGCTACTGCACTCCAGCCTGGGGCACAGAGTGAGACTCATGTCAAAAAAATTTTTTTTTAATTTAAAAAATAAAACTAAACTTACATGGTTTAGAAAGTGAAAGTTAAAAATGGAAACCTGTAATAGCTATATCATTCAAAATTGAGGACATTTTGAAAATGCTTTCTATAAATTGAATAGATATTCATTCACATTTATAGTAAAAATTTTCCAAAGAAGAAGTAAAATATCCAGTGCTTTCCTAAATAATGTTTTGTTTTATTTTATTGTTGAGACAGAGTCTCTGTCACCTTGGCTGGAGTGCAGTGGCACAATCTTGGTTCACTGCAACCTCCACCTCCCAGGCTCTAGCAATTTTCTCTGCCTCAGCCTCCTGAGTAGCTGGGATTATAGGTGTGAACCACTGCACCCGGCCCTAAATAATATTTTTAACTTATGGAATTCTTTATGGTTTATTTCATTTATTCAGTTTATATATCTAAATTGTATTTTCTAATATGCAGATAGAAAATGGCAAACTCCTTTGCATCTAGGACCCTCACTGCCCTTTCAGATCTGCAGCCAAACATGGCTGATCTGGTAAGTTTCAGTCATAGGCTGATTTGCTCACTAATGAAATTCTATATGATAACATCGTGTCAACATGATTGATTCATTCAACACATGCTTTTACAATCGACAAGCGTATAGCTACTCCTTGCATTGGTATAATTGTTAGATATTAAGTATACCTACATTTCTTTGTATTTATGCTGCCTAGATGAAAATTAATCTTTGTGTAGAGTAGGAGTTATGATTGTAGATGTGACTAGTAATTGTTCAAAATGATCAATAGATGTTTGTATTATTTTAATTAAATATTTAATAACGTCGTAAAATTAAAGAGGCTCACGCCTGTAATCCCGGCACTTTGGGAGGCTGAGGTGGGTGGATCACCTGAGGTTGGGAGTTCAAGACCAGCCTGGCCCACATGGAGAAACCCCGTCTTTGCTAAAAATACGAAATTAGCCTGGCTTGGTGGCGTATACCTACCCAGCTATTCAGGAGACTGAGGCAGGAGAATCGCTTGAACCCGGGAGGAGGAGGTTGCCGTAAGCCAAGATCACGCTGTTGCACTGCAGCCTGGGCAGGAATGAAACTCCATCCACAGCCTCCAAAAACATCAAATCATTTTGTTAAGTAGCAGCAATTTTCTAACCAAATTATCTAAGTTACGGTCTAAATACTTGACATTATGCTGCTTTTATGATCATGTTTTCTGAAATTATTATGTGAAAACTGACTTTTTGAGTAGGAGTTATAGGGGAATTCAGTGATTTTTGAATACACCTCAACTGTTATTTATTTAAAAAAAACCATAAGTTGAAGAACGTATTGTAAATCAACTACCATACACCCTTACATTCCCTGCCCATGAGTAGTCTGCCATTTATATTTTGCTTTTGCAAACTAGATTTCTTACAATAGGGTACCTTTACATATAACTTTAATAGTTTGTAATTTAAAATGTTTAAGTATTAAAAATGATAATTGCTATTACAGTTTTTCTTGAAAAGTAAACTGTTTGCTAATAATGGTCTGTTCAGATAGAATTTTACTCAGCATTTCTGTTGGTTGGATTTTCCAACAAAATTCAGTGAGATTTGCATGTATTAGGAAATAAAGAAATAATATCAAAGTGTCTAAATGAGCAGTGAGGCTAGCTCATAGCTCAGCTACAGCATAGGTGTCTTAAAAGCCTGATTGTAATTTAAATGTCACAGATTTTTATAAGGTTGAAATAATTTGCTGCAATTAGCAAAATTAGTTTTTTCTTTCAGAAAAGATAATAATTTTTCTTTCTTTTTTTTTTTTGAGACGGAGTCTTGCTCTGTTGCCCAGGCTGGATTGCAGTGGCATGATCTGGGCTCACTGCAACCTCCACCTCCCAGGTTCAAGCAATTCTCCTGCCTCAGCCTCCTGAGTAGCTGGGGTTATAGACATCACACCCAGTTAATTTTTTTTTTTTTTTTGAGACGGAGTTTCGCTGTTGTTACCCAGACTGGAGTGCAATGGCACGATCTCGGCTCACCGCAACCTCCACCTTCTGGGTTCAAGCAATTCTCCTGCCTCAGCCTCCCGAGTAGGTGGGACTACAGTCGTGCACCACCGTGCCCAGCTAATTTTTGTATTTTTAGTAGAGACGGGGTTTCACCTTGTTGACCAGGATGGTCTTGATATCTTGACCTCGTGCTCCACCTGCCTTGGCCTCCCAAAGTGCTGGGATTACAGGCGTGAGCCACCACGCCCGGCCAATTTTTTGTATCTTTAGTAGATATGGGATTTTACCACGTTGTTCTGGCTGGTCTCAAACTTGTGACCTCAGGTGATTGACCTGCCTAAGTACTGGGATTACAGGCACGAATCACCACACTCAGCCCATTTTTGTTTCTTAAAGCACATTTAATACTTACCTGGCAAAAAAGAAAAAGGAAAATAAAAGCACATTTAAAATTTGTCTTCGGTAGTCACTAAAGAGAACATTAATCATTTTAAGGAGATGTTAACATCTCTAAGGTTTAAGATGTAGGACGTTAGAATTTAGATTTATTAGCAGCAAAGTAGAAGTTGTGTTACAGTGAGTTACATCACTGTCCAGCATGTTGGACTAAGAGACAAGCAATTGCGTGTGGATTGTTAGCACACCCTGTAGGAAGGAAAGCTTTCAGGACCTCGGCAAATTAAATTGTATCACATGTGCTTGGATGAGTCAAATAAGGGTAGCATAGGGCAGTTACCATGCACCATCTAGTGACTGAAAATAAAGTAGAGGCTGGGCACGGTGGCTCACACCTGTAATCCCAGCACTTTGGGAGGCTGAGGCGGGTAGATCAGGAGGTCAGGACATTGATACCATCCTGGCTAACACAGTGAAACCCCATGTGTACTAAAAATACAAAAAATTAGCCGGGCATGGTGGCAGGTGCCTCGGCAGGCTGAGGCAGGAGAATCACTTGAGCCTGGGAGGGGGAGGTTGCAGTGAGCCAAGATTGCGCCACTGCACTCCAGTCTGGGTGACAGAGCAAGACTCTGTCTTGAAAAAAAAAACGGAAAGAAAGAAAAAAGAAATAAAGTAGAAACATGCTAAGTATTAAATGATTATATTTGTAATAGTAAACTTTTGGATTACTTTGTGCTATTCCTTGTGGAATTGAACATTTATGAAATTCTTTTAGATGTTTGTCTGCAATGAATACATTTAAACGGTTCCTAGTCAGAAATGTCTGTTAGAGCCAGTAAAATATAACAAGCCCGTGAAATTAGATCTACCATCTGCATCTGTGTTTAATTTTGGTCTTCTGTAACCCTTTTGTTTTTCAGAAAATAATCGGTATAGTTATTGGGAAAACAGATGTCAAAGGATTTCCAGACAGAAAAAGCTGAGTTCTCTTTAACTCTTTGCTTCATTTTCATCAACTTTGGCTTATGACTACAACAGAGTATATTTAAGAGATTCACTTTTCTTTGCTTGTTTAATTCCTTAAGAGCACTGGCCGTCGTCTCTGTTGGATGGTCAGATACCTGATTCAAGGCTATAGGTGTAAGGACAGTGAAACCTTTTTTTTTTTTTTTTTGACAGAGTTTTTCTGTGTCACCTAGGCTGGAGTGCAGTGGCACAATCTCAGCTCACAGCAATGTCTGCCTTTCAGGGTCAGGCCATTCTATCCCACTCAGTCTCCTGAGTAGCTAGGACTACAGGTGCACACTGCCATGTCCCCACATCCAGCTCACTTTTTGTATTTTTTGTAGAGATGGGTTTTGCTACGTTGCTCAGGCTGGTCTTGAACTCCTAATCTCAAGTGATCCACCTACCTTGGCTTCCAGAAGTGCTGGGATTACAGACATGAGCCACTGCACCTGGCCTGAAAATCATTTTTAATGATTTTATTTGATGTTTCTTTTTTTTTTTTTTTTCTTCTTTAAGACTGAGTATTGCCCCGTCACCCAGGCTGGAGTGCAGTGGTGAGATTTCAACTCACTGCAGTCTCCGCCTTCCATGTTCAAACAATTCTCCTGCCTCAGCCTCCCTAGTAGCTGGGATTACAGGTGCCTGCCATCACACCTAGCTAATTTTTGTATTTTTATAGAGATTGGGTTTCACCATGTTGGACAGGATGGTCTCAATCTCTTGACCTCATGATCTGCCTGCCTCAGCCTCCCAAAGTGCTGGGATTACAGGCATGAGCCACCGCGCCCAGCCTAGAAGTTATTTTTTCTCTTTCTTTCTTTCCTTTTTTTTTTTTTTGAGATGGAGTTTTGCTTGTTACCCAGGCTGGAGTGCAATGGCGTGATCTCGGCTCACTGCTACCTCCGCCTCCTGGGTTTAGGCAATTCTCCTGCCTCAGCCTTCTGAGTAGCTGGGATTACAGGCACCGCCACCATGCCCAGCTAATTTTTTGTAGAGACGGGGTTTCACCATGTTGACCAGGATGGTCTCTATCTCTTGACCTCGTGATCCACCTGTCTCAGCTTTCCAAAGTGCTGGGATTACAGGTGTGAGCCACCACACCTGGCTTTTTTGTTTTTTTTTTTTAAGATGGGGTTTCACCATGTTGGTCAGGCTGGTCTTGAACACCCAACCTCAGGTGATTCACCCACCTTGTCCTTCAAAGTGCTTGGATTACAGGCGTGAGCCACCACGCTCAGCCTAGAGTTCTTATTGAGTTGCTTGAACTGCACAAAAGTTTTAGGACTATGGAAACATAAACCAGTACTGAAACTACATTTTAAAAATCAGTTCACCTTCAAATGTTTGTAGTTGACATTGAAAGATAAAATATAGAATGGTAGGGCTGGGTGCGGTGACTCAAGCCTGTAATCCCAGCACTTTGGGAGGCCGAGGCAGATGGAGCATGAGGTCAAGAGATCGAGACCATCCTGGTCAACATGGTGAAACCCCGTCTCTACTAAAAATACAAAAAATTAGCTGGGCATGGTTGCACGTGCCTGTAATCCCAGCGACTCAGGAGGCTAAGGCAGGAGAATTGCCTGAACTCAGGAGGCGGAGGTTGCAGTGAGCGGAGATCGTGCCATTGCACTCCAGCCTGGGTAACAAGAGCGAAACTTTGTCTCAAAATAAATAAATAAATAAATAAATAAATAAATAAAAATATATAGAATGGTAGGCTGGGCACAGTGGCTCACGCCTGTAATCTCAGTCCTTTGGGAGGCTGAGGTGGGTGGATCACGAGGTCAGGAGATCAAGACCATCCTGGCCAACATGGTGAAATGCCATCTCTACTAAAATATAAAAAATTAGGTGGGCATGGTGATGTGTGCCTGTAATCCCAGCTACTCAGGAGGCTGAGGCAGGAGAATCACTTGAACCTGGGAGGTAAAGGTTGCAGTGAGCAGAGATCGCACCACTGCACTCCAGACTGGCAACAAAGCAAGACTCCGTCTCAAAAAAACAAAAACAAAACAAAAAATAAGAATGGTAAAACTTGCAGTTCACTACTATTAACTTTAAAGTCTTCTTTTTTCTTTTTTTTTCTTCTGAGACAGAGTCTCACTTTCTTGCCCATGCTGGAGTGCAGTGGTGCAATTTCAGCTCACTGCAACCTCCACCTCCTGGTTCAGGTGATACAGCCTCAGCCTCCCAAGTAGCCGGGGCCACAGGTGTGTGACACAACACCCAGCTAATTTTTGTATTTTTAGTAGAGATGGGGTTTTGCCATGTTCGCCAGGCTGGTCTTGAACTCCTTACCTCAGGTGATCTGCCTGCCGTGGCCTCCCAAAATGCTGGGATTACAGGTGTGAGCTACTGTACCCAGACTTTAAATCCTTCTTATTAAAGTTTACAATGTATGTTATATATGTATATTCTACATCTTATATATGCCTGGGCAACAGTATTATGTATATTATATATGTATTACATATATTATATATGTATTACATATATTATATATATGCGTGTTGCTGTACTGCTTAAGTGAATCAGCTCTAGCCAACCAGCCAATAGTTTTGGCAGAAGAAGACATTAGTTTTGCTAGAATCACCTGAATCACTGTGACTATGTTACTTTAACCCATGATACAGCGATAGATACCTTTATTTTATTTTTATTTCATATCTTTATTGATTGCTTGATTGAGACAGGGTCTTGCTCTGTCACCTGGGCTAGAGTGCAGTGGTGTGATAATAGATCACTGCAGCCTCAAACTCCTAGGCTCAAATGATCTTCCTGCCTTAGCATCCCAAATAACTAGAACTACATATACCACAACAGCTGGCTGATTTTTATTTTAAATATTTATTTATTTGACGGAGTCTGTCTCCCAGGCTGGAGTGCAGCAATGAGAAGACAGCTCACTGCAGCCTTGGCCTCGAGCTCAAGTGATCCTCCCACTTCAGCCTCACATGCAGCCCAGACCACAGGTACATGCTACTGTGCCTGAATAATTTTTGGATTTTTTTTGTAGAGACATAGGGTCTCACTTTGTTTTCCAGGCTGGTCTCAAACTCCTGGGCTGAAGCATCTTACCCCCTTGGCCTCCCAAACTGCTGGGATTACAGGCACGAGCAACTGCACCCAGCCAGGTTGTAATTTTTTTTTTTGAGACGGAGTCTTGCTCTATCGCCAGGCTGGAGTGCAGTTGCTTGATCTTGCTCACTGCAAACTCTGCCTTTCAAGTTCAAGTGATTCTCCTGCTCAGCCTCCCAGGTAGCTGGGACTACAGGCTCACACCACCACACCCAGCTGATTTTTTTTTTTCTTTTTTTTTTGAGATGGAGTTTCACTCTTGTTGCCCAGGCTGGAGTGCAATGGTGTGATCTTGACTCACTGCAACCTCCGCCTCCTGGGTTCAAGCAATTCTCCTGCCTCAGCATCCCGAGTAGCTGGGATTACAGGCATGCACCACTACACCTGGCTAATTTTGTATTTTTAATAGAGACAGAGTTTCTCCATATTGGTCTCGAATTCCTGACCTCAGGTGATCCGCCAGCCTTGGACTCCCAAAGTGCTGGGATTACAGGTGTGAGACACCTCACCCAGCCTTAATTTTTGTATTTTTAGTAGAGATGGGGTTTCACCATGTTGGCCAGGATGGTCTTGATCTCTTGAACTTGTGATCCACCCATCTTGGTGTCCCAAAGTGCTAGGATTACAGGGTTGAGCCACCGTGCCTGGTGGTTGTAATATTTTTATATTTTTAAGATGGAGTCTTACTCTGTTGCCAGGCTGGAGTGCAGTGGTGTGATCTCGGCTCACTGCAGCCTCTGCCTCCCGGGTTCAACCATTCCCCTGCCTCAGCCTTCTAAGTAGCTGCGATTACAGGTGCATGCCACCACACCTGGCTAACTTCTTGTATTTTAGTAGAGACGGAGTTTCACCATGTTGGCCAGGATGGTCTCGATCTTGACCTTGTGATCTGCCTGCCTCAGTCTCTCAAAATTCTAGGATTATAGGCGTGAGCCACCATGCTGGCCTGTTGTAATTTTTAATTAGGAAAACCAGTGTTACATTTCTGTTTTGGAAAAACAACTATTTGCTGACCCCTAGTGGTCCTCATTAAGTAGCACATAATTTGTTTTCAAATAACTTAATTATTTTAAAATTTTATTTTAAGTTTTTTAGATACAGAATCTAAGTCTGTTCTTCCCCACCTCTACTGAAAAACCCCATCTCTATTAAAATAATACAAAAATTAGCCTGATATGGTAGTATGCACCTGTAGTCCCAGCTGCATGGGAGGCTGAGGCAGGAGAATCACTTGAACTGGGAGCCGAGGGTTACAGTGAGCTGAGAGATCGCACCACTGCACTCCAGCCTAGGTGTACAGTTAAAAAACACCCTGAGCTTATTCTTCCCAGGCTAGAGTACAGTGGTGCATTCAAAGCTCACTACACACTTAAACTGGGCTCAAGTGACCCTTCCTCCTCAGCCTCCCGAGTAGCTGAGAGGAAAGACAAGTCCACCATTAATTTTAAAATTTTCTGTAGAGATGGGATCTCTCTATGTTACTCAGGCTGGTTTTGAACTCCAGGCCTCAAGTGGTTCTCCCACCTCAGCCTCCCAGAGTCCTGGGATCACAGGGGTAAGCCACTGTGTCCAGCCAAGTTTTATTATTATTACTGTTTTTCAGACAGTTTCACTCTTGTCATTCAGGCTGGATCTTGGCTGACTGCAACCTCTGCCTCCCAGGTTCAAGTGATTCTGCTGCCTCAGCATCCCAAGTAGCTGAGACTACAGGTGTAGACGCCTGGTTAATTTTTGTATTTTTAGTAAAGATGGGGTTTCACCATGTTGGTGAGGCAGGTCTTGAACTCCTGACCTCAGGTGATCCACCCACCTCAGCTTCCCAAAATGTTGGGATTACAGGTGTGAGCCACCACACTCGGACTATTTTTATTTTTATTTTAGAGACGGGGTCTTTCTCTGTCACCCAGGCTGGAGAGCAGTGGTGCAATCATAGCTCACTGAAGCCTTGAACTACTGGGCTTAAGCAATTCTTCTGCTTCATCCTCTCAAGTAGCTGGGACTGAAATAACTATTTAAATGTGAATTATGACTTAGGTTCAAACAACAGTAAGCGAGAAAAGGAGAACCTAAGGTAATACCTGGATAGCTCAAGTTTACATGTCTTTTCCTCCAAATGCACAGGTAACCAGGGAAGGATCAAGGGGGCAACTTGTTACCACTTCAGGTTGAAATTCATAGAAGCATAACATTATAGAATATACCTCTGAAATAACATTTTGTACCATGTGTTTGAGTATTTTTATCATCATAAAGAATCATTTGATTAAAGAAATAATCATTTGTTCAGAATTGAAATGAAACTTTTCATGTGACAGCAAAAGGTGGAGAAGTGATTGAAACCCTTTATTTGAAAAATAAAAGCACTGGTTTTCCCTTAGATATTGGATCAGAAAGATACACTTTCAGCTTCACCATTCGGGATTCACCAGCACATTTTATAAATGCAACTTCCTGGGGCAATGAAGATTACATCAAGTCTCTTTCTGACGGCTTTAGGGTTGGCGATTGTGGTAAGTTGGCAGTGATTCTTAAACTTTTTCTAGAGTAGTATCGTTCCTGTGGTATGTTTGTGGTAGCTATACTGATGTGGGTAACCCCCACATAGGCACCGAGGAAGGAGAGCTAAGCAGTATCCTAGAACAATTGAGATCTGAAGAATGTCTCAGTTTATAGTCTTAGCACTCAGTTATTTCCCTATATATGTATAACTATATCTTAGTTCATAATCGGAGGAATGCCTAGAGTGGACACGGTACACAGCATGAATTAAGGAATAAGCAGCTTATAATCGGAGGAATGTCTGGAGTAGACACAACGCAGAGCACGATTTAAGGGATAACAGTTATACCAGGACAAGAATCCATGGCCCAGGCGGCAGCGTTCAGTATCGTAAAGACACCCGCTGTATGGCAGGCTTGGGGTGAGAGCCACTCCTCCTGATAAAGGAGTTTTAGGACCTTGCTCCAGTTCTTGAGGAAAGCTGCCCTCAGACTGGCAATCCACCTTGTGACTGTGAACTTTATCAGCTCGTGTTACTGTACTCGCTCAAAAAGCATTCCCCTATAGAACTCATTGAAAGCTGCCAGCAGGTGGCGGTAACTCTGATAGCTCTGTCATTGCGGTGTGACTTAAAGCATCCTCCCATCAATCATCTTAGAAGTAGCTTGCCCATAGATAGAGGTATTGCACACTGCACCCTCTTCACTGCACATGGCCCACCTCCATGCCTCAGTGATGTAATGGGGGTGGACCCCCAACTGCATACGGCCCAACTCCTTGCCTTGATGACCTAATGGGAATGGACCCCTTGCTGCACACTGTGCACCTCCTAGCTTAAGTGACCTAATGGGGGTGGACCCCATGTTTTATTGCTCACAACCCTATCACTATCCTTAAAGATGACTTCACTCACTGCCCTGCCCCCTAACCTATATACAATAAATACTGATGCTTCTGGACATTTGGGGCCTCTCTTGACTCTGCTTATAGGTGGCGTGGCCCCCCTGAGCTCAGCTGCGTTTTCCTTGTACTTCGGTGTCCTGTCTCTTTATTTCTCATATCCTGCTCCTCAGCACAGCCTAAGGGACACCCCACAACCCTGTGGGGCCCTCAGCCCTACATACTGAGGGAGTTGAAATGAGACACAGTTCGTAATTCTCAAGAGCCTTATCAGGGGCCAGGCGCAGTGGCTCATGCCTGTAATCCCAGCACTTTGGGAGTCTGAGGCAGGCAGATCATGTGGTCAAGAGATCAAGACCATCCTGGCCAACGTGGTGAAACCCCATCTCTACTAAAAATACAAAAAATTAGCCAGGCTTGGTGGTGCATGCCTGTAGTCCCAGCTACTCAGGTGGCTGAGGCAGGAGAATTGCTTGAAACTGGAAAGTGGAAGTTTTAGTGAACTGGGATCGCGCCACTGCACTCCCACCTGGCAATAGAGCGAGACTCTCAACAGAAAAAGCCAAGTGTTAAGAGTATAATGCAGTGGGGTGCAGTGGCTCACACCTGTAATCCCAACACTTTGGGAGGCCAAGGCAGGTGGATTATGTGAGTTCAGGAGTTTGAGACCAGCCTGGGCAACATGGCAAAACCATTTCTATAAACAGTACAAAAAATTAGCTGGATTTTGTGGCGTGGGCCTGTAGTACCAGCTACTGAGGAGGCTGAAGGGGGAGGATGGGTTGAGCTTGGAAAGTGGAAGTTGCAGTGAACCAGTTAGTGCCACTGCACTCCATCCTGGGTCACAGAGTGAGACCCTGTCTCAAAAATAAATAACTGCAGTGCAAGGCATTCAGAATGTTACTTGAAGCATACAAAATGATAGTTATATTTTTACTAGGTAACCCTACTGTCTGTGGTTTATTACGTATTTAAATCTGCATCAACCCTTTTTGTTATAATTGGTTATCTTTCTATAGACATGTAATAGGGACACTGAATCGATTTTGATAAAAGTTGATATTTGAATTGTTAATGGGATTTTAAGGAACTTTACCTTTGGTTTAAATACCAAATCTTTTGCATTTTCTACTCACCCCAGTATCCCTTTGACAGTACAACCTAGTATAGTAGAAAGAACAGTAGACTTTGAAAACACAGAGGTGTAGATTCAAATCCCAGTTTCAACATTTACTTACATAAGGCTTTGAGAACATTTCTTAATCTTGTTGGGTCTCAACTATGAAATAATACCTCATTAGGTTCTTGTAAATATTAAATGAGATAGTGTGGCCAGGCGCAATGGTTCATCCCAGCACTTTGGGAGGCCGAGGCGAGTGGATCACCTGAGGTCAGGAGTTCAAGACCAGCCTGGCTAACATGGTGAAACCCTGTCTCTACTGAAAAAAAAAAAAAATTGCCAGGTGTGGTGGCATGCACCTGTAATCCCAGCTACTCAAGAGGCTGAGGCAGGAGAATCGCTGGAACCTGGGAGGTCAAGGCTGCAGTGAGCCAATATCGTGTCATTGCACTCCAGCCTGGGCAACAGAGCAAGACTCTGTCACAAAACAACAACAACAACAACAACAGAGAGATAATGTACCTAGTATGAAGTGTGGAACTTAGTCACTGAACAGATGACAGCCTTAGCCTAATAAAAGGAACAAGAAAGCCTGTGTACTAGCTCTCCTTCATGGTAGAAAAAGAGAAAAGAAAGTAATGCAGATAATGAAAACACTCCTCTTCCATACTGTTGTCTCAAGCAGCCCACTCTCCATACTAGTTATTTAGACCCTAATCATATATTGCCTTGTATTATTAACTGTCAGGACAATGTATGATATCTCTCTAGTTGAATAATAGAGTCATTGAACACAGGGACCGTGAAGGCGGAAAGCTTCGTAAACTTCATAGGGGCCAGTATAGTTGGAGACATCCATTGAATAAATTATTAGTTATATATAAATATATTAATTATATATGGAGATAAAGATTTCAATTTTGACATTTCAGCATCAAAATATGTTATATGTTGATGGTGGAAAGATGAATGAGGTGTGAAATTTTTAAAGTCTAAAGTTGATGATTATAAATTAAACAGGATTTTAATGTGTTTATCTTGTCACTTTGTGATGGCATCAGACTTTGCTCTCTGTTTTAGTGATAATTGAAAATCCTCTGATCCAAAGAAAGGATATAGAAAGAGAGGAAAAATTCAGCCCTGCAACTCCTAGGTAAGTGTCTGTCTAGCACAGAGATTGTGCCAGAATGATCATTACTGATAATTTTGTATCAGATTAGCAGAGATCTCACTAGAAGTGTTGTGTGTCTCTTTCAGTAAAAGTGAGTTTAATTCTCTCTTACAAAACTCACCTTTGATTATGATAGAATTTACTTTGATACAGAGTCACATGAAAAATGGCTTTGCTGTCAGTACCCTGATTCATATTCTCAGATTTACAGAAATTTGACTCGTTATGTTAAAACAGAATGAGAAGAAAAGATAAACTTCGGAAATTGCGTATTTCTTTTTTCATATCAAGGGATCCTTCTACTCACAACCTTACCATCTTAGGTCAGGTTCCCTGGAAGCAGAGCTTGAGAGGAGGACTCTTATGTGATTATTTCATTGAGGGAGAGCTCTCAAGGGAACTCTGGAAGGAGAGGTGGAGAAGAAGCTGAGCAGAGAAGTGGGTTTACAGGGAGCCTCAGCAGGGGCCCAGGACAGAGCTCTGGAGCATGAGTGGTCCCTTAGAACAGTGCCCTGGCTGTAGTCCATCCACTCCCCAAACCCTCAGGGTGGTATGGGGATAAGCTCGAAGGCAGGCTTGGCAGTTCTGGAGAGGAGGATGTAGCTGTGCTCCTGTCCCAGCCTGTAAAGGGCTGTCGGCGGGCACAACAGTCTACTGCATTTACCCTCGCATCGTTTGTGACCCTTCCCTTTTATAACCTCGTCTTACACCAGCCTCTCCAGCCTCGTTTCTCTGCAGCCACAGTGAGTTTCTTTACATTTCATGGACATCCTGAACTCATTCCGCACTAACTTTTGTATTTTCTACTCCCTCTCTGCGTAGAACATTCTTCTCCCATCTGTTTGAATATTTGCTTCTTTGGGTTAATGACTCTCAGCTTAAATGTCACCTTCTTCAACCTTCCCCATCTACTCTGTTTGTGGTAGCGCTAATGGTCAACTACTGGATCTTTGCCCTGGCTGTTGTCACCTAACCCGAGTCACCAACTGAAATTGTTTGATTCATTGTTCTTGGGTCTCCCCTTTACATATGTGAGCCTCATGAGATTGAAGGTCTTGTCTGCCTTCTTCACCACCGGATGCCTTGTGCCTAGCAGAGGGTCTGGCATATAACAGATTCTCAGTATTCATGGAATGGATGGATGGATGCATGGATAGATGGAGAGAAGAACATTCCTGGTGGAGGGCAGAAAAAGGAAACCTCCTGTCTTTTCCAGAGCAGTTAATATTAGGTTGAGCCATTTGAAACTGCTGATGTTTTACTATTTTTGATCTAGAAATACCAGTTTCATAATGTAGTAGTCTGATATGGCTGAATGCAGGGAATGGACAGGGGGAGAAGCTTAAGGCAGAAGCAGATATACTTCACAGACAGCTTTGCTTTCATACCGAATTATTTCCTCTGTGACTGGTAGCCACAGGACAGTCTTTGAGCTGGGAAATAATATTTTCATATTTGTGATTTAGGAAGATCACTTTATGGTGGAGTGGACTGTGGGGAATGAAGCTTAGTTAGGAGAGCAAGGCAGTGGTGTGGGAGAGAAGTGACGAGGTAGGTAAGTGAGGCAGAGCAGAGAGGACCCTGTGTTAGAGGGCTGCTGGGGCATGGAAGCTGGGGGCTGGGAGGGACTCGGTGCAGGAGGCAGAGCTCCTCAGTTCAGGCTCACGGTGCCAGTGTCCCCATCTGCTCCACGCAGAGTGCAGCAGGGCTAGGAAACAGTCCCTGACCTGAGGCACTCAGGCAGAGCAGCCAGGGCCACAAGAGAGAGAAACACTAGTCCTCGGGTTTGTATAACCCCTGAAAGTTTTGGAGTGCTTTATACTCTGATTTTTTTGGAGAAGGAAACAAACGCAGAGTCTTGGGCAAAATCAAGTAAGTGGTAGGCTTAGAACTCCACATGCGTCGATCCTCAAAACATTTCCTTAGTGAAAGTGCATTGTAAACAAAAAGTCTTTTGCCATATTATTCAGTGTTTCTAAGAGTAGAAAGTATACATTTCTTAATATTGTCTAAATTTCAACCAAAAAATGTAATTTAAATGTGAACCTGGAAAAATTTTTCTATCCAAAAATCACTTTCATATAACTTTCTTGTGTTTTTGCGATTTAGCAACTGTAAACTATTGCTCAGTGAGAATCACTCGACAGTGAAAGTTTGTTCCAGTTATGAAGTGGACACAAAGTTACTTTCTTTGATACATTTACCTGTTAAAGAGTCTCGTGATTATTATTCACTGGGTGACATTGTTGCGAATGGACACAATCTTAATGGGAGGATTATTAACGTGCTTGCAGCTGTGAAGTCGGTAAGTTGAAATCCCAAGAAAGCCAACTGCAGTTTGACAGAAGAGTCGCTGTCATTTGATTTGTGTTTGGGATGGAGTGGTCATAATCGGCTGGGGTAGTTTTTCTTCTGTATCTTGGTAATATGTTGAATTAAGAAAACAGTAACTCTTCTCATTAAGGGAAATTTTATCTGTGGATGAGTAGTAAAATAAAATTGTATTTGAATGCCCACTCTGCTCATAAATGATCTGCTAACTATAGAAGAACTTTTATACTTTGCTTAAACAAAGATGTAAATGGAAAGCGTAAGCTTATTGACTTGGAATTCTCCATGATTTTGCTTGAAGGGGCATAGTTGAATATAAGTTAAGGGATCAGTTCTCTGCCTTTTTGCTTAGAGCTGCCCAGAAACCGGAGAGGGAGTGTGAATACACGCTACCCTGCTATAGGGGCTTTGTGATCTAATAGGTGGAGTGGGACCAGGCTGGTGAGGTACAGGGGAGGATGGCAATCCATGGGGCACCCAGGGGGTGGTGTTCCCTTCTGGTGCATCAGTGCTGTCTCAATTATTACAGCAAGTTCTGAGCTCTGTAGTTTGACAGACCAGAGCCACTGGACAGAGATTTAGATGTAGACCCCAACAATTAAGTTTCACAAAATAAAGTACATGAAAATGAGTCCAGGCACAGTGGTTCACATCTGTAATCCCAGCACTTTGGGAGACCGAGGCAGATGGGTCACTTAAGCCCAGGAGTTCAAGACCAGCCTGGGCAACATGGCAAAACTCCAACTTTATCAAAAATACAAAACTTAGCCAGGTGTGGTGGCGTATACCTGTAGTCCCAGCTGCTTGGGAAGCTGAAGAGGGAGGATCACCTGAGCCTGGGAGGCTGAGGTTGCAGTGAGCCACAATTATGCCACTGTACTCTAGCCTGGGCAGCAGAGGGAGACCTGTCTTAAAAATAAATAAAATAAAGGGGCAAGAAGGTTGGGGGCAGTAGCTCATGCCTGTAATCATAGCACTTTGGGAGGCCGAGGCGGGAGGATCACCTGAGGGCAGGAGTTTGTGACCAGCCTGGCCAACGTGGTGAAACCCCATCTCTACTAGAAATACAAAAAATTAGCTGGGCATGGTGGCAGGTACCTGTAGTCTCAGCTACTCGGGGGGGCTGAGGCTGGAGAATCACTTGAACCTGGGAAGCAGAGGTTGCAATGAGCTGAGATGACACTATTGCACTCCAGCCCGGGTGACAGAGCAAGACTCCATCTCAATAAATAAATAAGCAAGAGTAATTTCTTAATATAGAGACAGATGATAGTCAAGAGACCAAAAAAAAAAGGTTGTCGGGGGGAACACACACTTACAGTAGTTAATGTTGTAAGTAGATGTGAATTGGGTGTCACATTAAATGATGACTGACTGAGAGCATGAGACTCTCAGATGTCAGGCCCCTGGCTGTGGAGGCCATGCCTGCCTCATGGGGACAATGCTATATACTTAATGGAGGAGGAATAAGCACGCTGCATGATCATCGTGAAAAATAGGAGAAGTCCCTTTCTAGTCAGTTTAGGATCAGTCCTATTCAGTTGTTCACATGAGTGCTCAATTGTTTGCGGTTTCCTCAAGTTCTAGATAATGCTCATTACATTTATCGTGTAGTAAGAGCCAGGTGTGGTGGCTCATGTCTGTAATCCCAGCACTTTGGGAGGCTGAGGCAGGTGGATCACCTGAGGATACCAGCCTGGCCAACATGGTGAAACCCCATCTCTACTAAAAGTACAAAATTAGCCAGGCAATTACGAAAATACGCATATTTCGTTGATTATGAAATATGCCTGTAATTTCAGCTACTCAGGAGGCTGAGGCGGGAGAGTCGCTTGAATCTGGGAGGCGGAGGTTGCAGGGAGCCGAGATTACACCATTGCACTCCATCCTGGGTAACAAGAGCAAAACTCTGTCTCAAAAAAAAAAAAAAAAGTAGTAAGAATTGTCTTCAACCCTGAATGAATATAGTGATATAAGCAGGAAACTCTGGCAGCTTTCATGTGTCTCGTCATTTCGTACCCCTTTTGTCTTTCAGCCCTCTTACATTTCCTTTTCTTCACACTTTTATTAACCTGTGGTCTCTTCTCGCCTCCACTGTCTTTTCACTTTAAAACTCCTTTTAATGAAGTGTTCTTCACCTCCCCGACCCCAGGTGTTAGGCTGACCTCTCAGCCTCTGGCTGTCCTTTCCAGGTCCCTTTCTCTTAGCAGCACAGATGCAGTGGTGGCAGTGTTGGGCGGGTGGGGTGGCCAGTGACTATCGATGCTGGGCCTGCTGCCGTGCATCTGTCAGAGGCACCTGCTATTCCCACATGAGAAACCACTGCGTGGAGAGAAGGGTCCTAGGTTCAACTCCACCTTTTTTTTTTTTTTTCTTCACTTGCTTTAATGAGCAAGAACATATCCACTTTGATTCTCTCACCCCACAATGGACAGACTTGGACAGTATCAGAGTTTCCTGCATATCCTGCATGTGGCTGTCACCATGGTAGCTCTGGGAAGAAGGCAAGGATTATCCTATATTACTTTGTTTCCTGTGGATACTTCTTACACCACAGATATGTTGTGTTTTTATGTTCGCTAAGAAGATGGAGATGCTGCCGGCCACAGTGGCTCACGCCTGTAATCCCAGCACTTTGGGAGGCCGAGGTGGGCAGATCACCTGAGGTCAGGAGTTCAAGACCAGCCTGGCCAACATGGTGAAATCCCATCTCTACTAAAACTACCAAAAATTAGCCAGGCGTAGTGGTGCATGCCTGTAATTCCAGCTACTCAGGAGGTTGAGACAGGAGCATTGCTTGAACCTGGGAGGTGGAGGTTGCAGTAAGCCAGAGTTGCATCGTTGCAATTCAGCCTGGGCAACAAGAGCAAAACTCTGTCTCAAAAAAAAAAAAAAAAAAAAAAAAGGGAATGCTGAGCCCCAGAGAGGAGTCCATTCAGTCACATGAACTCCATGCTGGGCTCCACGCTGAGCCGTGGGAATACACAGGTGCTGGAAACCCTCCCTGCCCTGGAGGACTCCATATAGATACCCCAGGGGGGCCTGTCATGGAGCCTTGTTGTGACATACTGAAAAGACTTTCAGGGCCAGGCGCGGTGGCTCACGCCTATAATCCCAGGACTTTGGGAGGCCGAGGCGGGTGGATCACGAGGTCAAGAGATCGAGACCGTCCTGGTCAACATGGCGAAACCCCGTCTCTACTAAAAATACAAAAGTTAGCTGGGCATGGTGGTCCATACCTGTAGTCCCAGCTACTCAGGAGGCTGAGGCAGGAGAATTGCCTGAACCCAGGAGGCGGAGGTTGCGGTGAGCCAAGATCCTGCCATTGCACTCCAGCCTGGGTAACGAGCAAAACTTCGTCTCAAAAAAAAAAAAAAAAAAAAAAAGAAAAGAAAAGAAAAAAGAAAAGACTTTCAGTATCTACTTTAAGCACCTGTCTTTCTGGCTCTTCAAAGTGTTCTGTGACTCACAACTTCAGCTACGGACACGTGGTTTAGAGATAGAAGAGGCTTTAAAATCATCAGTATATATTACTGGTTCTGGGTATTTTTGTATTTCTAATTTGCTGTTTAAAAGGTGAGCATTTGAGTATTTGCATCAACATATACTTAAGTACTTCTGCATATAGGTGAAGGGTAATGGTTTCTTTTCATTTCTAAGGTTGGAGAGCCAAAATACTTTACAACTTCAGACCGGAGAAAAGGCCAGCGCTGTGAAGTTAGACTCTATGATGAAACAGAATCTTCTTTTTCAATGACATGGTAACACCCACGTCTCTTCCAAACTGTGAAATCCCTGTTGTTATCACTGGGACATTTTCATTTTCTCAGTAAGGTGATGGATTTCATATCCAGAGGGTAATGATAGCAGATGAATGATACTGTAAAAAAATCAACCTTACTCTTGAATGTCGGGTTGTTATGGACACCAACTTAAAATAAGGTCTTTAGCCGGGCGCGGTGGCTCAAGCCTGTAATCCCAGCACTTTGGGAGGCCGAGACGGGTGGATCACGAGGTCGAGAGATCGAGACCGTCCAGGTCAACATGGTGAAACCCCGTCTCTACTAAATATATAAGAAAAATTAGCTGGGCATGGTGGCACGTGCCTGTAATCCCAGCTACTCGGGAGGCTGAGGCAGGAGAATTGCCTGAACCCAGGAGGGGGAGGTTGTGGTGAGCCGAGATCACGCCATTGCACTCCAGCCTGGATGACAAGAGCAAAACTCCGTCTCAAAAAAAAATAATAATAATAAGGTCTTTAGATGGTATGGAATTGCTTAGGACTCTACCGTAACCAGTTTTATTATTGAATTCTGTTTTATAATAAATTGTGTTTCATTAGGTCCCATGGAACAAGCAAGACTTTCCCTCCATGCTTCCTGGGAAGTATACTGGAGCAGGGCAGGGCACAGGGAATGTGGGGCAGGGTGGGTGCTGCTGCACCCTGAAGCACTGCCAGGTACAAGGCATTGTCTAGACCCCTGATGCCTGTGTACCAAAGGAAATGATCTGAAAAGTGCCTTCAACCCTTCAAGACCCCTGAGCAAGTTACCTGCTAGCGGGCTCTTACCTGCATGGTCTAGAAGTGTGACTTTAAAGTCTTTAGGCTTTAGTTCTAAGTAGCCTGGGGTGATGAAGTGTTGGGAAAATAAATTGGCAAAGCAGAGTATTACTAGAGAAGAGTGTGTGTGAACGGAATGATCTCTCATGGAGATGCGAAATTCTCCATGGGAGGGACAAGTAAAAACTGGCATCCTCAAGACCGAGAGGTCCCCACCGTGGGGATGGCTGACCCCAGCCACTGGAGCTTGTTGTTGTTGTAAATGATGTGTCACTATCAGTTTCTTGTAGTGTGTTCAATTTGTATTACTTCTTTTTAAACAAATGCAGTTGGGATAGTGAGTCCATTCTACTTGCACAGTGCTGGATGCCACGAGAAACAGGTATTATTATCCAGTGATTGTGTTCACTATTTGTCATTTTACAACCTCCCATGTAATCATTTTAAATGACTTTTTCCCCAAACAGTAATATTTGCCTCGGATGTAAGAATAAGTTTTGACAAGTTTCGAAACTGCATGACAGCAACTGTAATCTCAAAAACCATTATTACAACTAACCCAGGTAAAAAGCTTTCTGAAACCTTTGTATCCCTTTGGACATGACTGGATACATTTCAATATTTGTACAGTATATTTAAGACTGAAAATTCAGCCTGGATTTAATTCATATTAGAAGTTGCAAATAGCTTTATATAACTTAAAAAAACTTACCATGAACTTTGATATCTTTACTAAAGAAATGTGAGGCCAGGCTGGGCCTGGTGGCTCACACTGATAATCCCAGCACTTTGGGAGGCCGAGGCGGGCAGATCATGAGGGCAGGAGATAGAGACCATCCTGGCCAACATGGTGAAACCCCATCTCTACAAAAATACAAAAATTAGCTGGGTATGGTGGCTGGTACCTGTAGTCCCAGCTACTCGGGAGGCTGAGGCAGGAAAATTGCTTGAACCCAGGAGGCGGAGGTTGCAGTGAGCTGAAATCACACCATTGCATTCCAGCCTGGCAACAGAGCAAGACACCAACTCAAAAAAAAAAAAAAGAAAAGAAAGAAAGAAACGTGAAAAAACAGATTAAGTTTTAAAGTATAATTCATTGTGATAATTTTTGAGGGATCAATCTTATTGCTTAGATGACCTAAATTATTGACTATTTAAAAAGTAAATTCGGTTTTGCTAGATTCAAATAACTTTTACTGCTAAGGACATTAACACACACACATACACAGTATTCTGTGTAGTATCATTAACTCATGACTGCACGTTAAATGTCCAGATGATATTCTGAAGTGGTTGTTAAAGAAGTTACAGTTGACTAAAGCATGAAATCAAGGGAGCCAGATCGGGGAGATGAGGGGTTAGTGCCTGTGAGCATTCCCAGGGTGCTTTAGAGTGGAGATAGAACCGTCATCCCAGTACTGCCAAAGAAAGGAAGTCATCCTTTTCCATCTCAGGAAGCTGTGAGTATAGTATGTAGGGTATCATTTAAAGCATATGGTCACTCTGCTGGTCGATGACAAAGCATCAGCAGTGACAGAATTATAATTAAAGCAATGTATGCTTGTGACCAAATGCATGCTTTTGACAGGATTTTTTTTTTTTTTTTTGAGATGGAGGTTCGCTCTTGTTACCCAGGCTGGAGTGCGATGGCGCATTCTCGGCTCACCGCAACCTTCGCCTCCTGGGTTCAGGCAATTCTCCTGCCTCAGCCTCCTGAGTAGCTGGGACTACAGGCAGGCACCACCATGCCCAGCTAATTTTTTGTATTTTTAGTAGAGACGGGGTTTCACCATGTTGACCAGGATGGTCTCGATCTCTTGACCTCATGATCCACCCACCTCGGCCTCCCAAAGTGCTCGGATTTCAGGCGTGAGCCACCCCGGCCAGCCCAACAGGATTTTTAAAAGAGAATTACTGTGAGGAATGGCGTAAAATAACAAGACTCTGGTTTTTATATGAGTACTTTGAATATAAAAGTGCCATCATGCCCAGCTAATTTTGCATTTTTAGTAGATACAGGGTTTCTCCATGTTGGTCAGGCTGGTCTCAAACTCCCAACCTCACGCAATCCCACCCACCTTGGCCTCCCAAAGTACTAGGATTACAGGCGTGAGCCAGTGTGCCTGGCTGAATTATAAAATATTAAAGGAGAACAGGTGGAATAGAATCCGGAGGACCTAGAGAGCCACAGTATGTGTGATATTTCACAAGGTGGTTCAGGTGTGCTGCATGGGAGGGTGACATTTGAGCCAAGACTTGATGAGGAGGCTAAAGGGTTAACCCAGGGAAAGCCCTGTGCCTACCTGTGGGAGGAACAGCCAGGGGCTGGTGTTGCTGGAGCAGATGGCGCTTGGGGGAAAGGGGCAGGAGCATTCCGAAAAGAGTTGGAGGCACCCATGAAGAAGGCCTCACAGGCTGTTAGAGTGCCCTGGCTTCCACTCTGGACGGTGTGGCAGGTTGGGTTTGGAGCAGAGCAGTGACAGCATCTGACTCAGTTCTGAGAGGATCACTCTGACTGCTTTGTTGGAAATGGATGGTGACACACAATAGTCTATTATTAACACTTAGGACAACAGCACTCTACTCTTCAATTTTTTTCTTTGTTGGCGGGAAATACTATGGTTTATTATTAGACATAATTTATTAATAAAAATTGTTTATTTATTTATTTTTTTTTTTTTTTGAGAGGGAGTCTTGCTCTGTCCCCCAGGCTGGAGTGCAATGCCACAATCTTGGCTCACTGCAACCTCTACCTACTGGGTTCAAGCAATTCTCCTGCTTCAGCTTCCAGCTTACTGGGAGTACAGGTGCCCATCACCATGCCCAGCTTATTTTTATGTTTTTAGTAGAGACAGGGTTTCACCATATTGGCCAGGCTCGTCTTGAACTCTTAGGCTCAAATGATCCTCCTGCCTGGGCCTCCCAAACTTCTGGGATTACAGGCGAGAGCCCCTGCACCTGCCCTATCATTCTTTTTTTTAGATAAAGTCTCGCTCTGTCACCTGGCCTGGAGTGCAGTGGCACAATCTCGGCTCACTGCAACCTCCGCGATTCTCCAGCCTCAGCGTCTTGAGTAGCTGGGACTACAGGCACATCCCACCACATCCGGCAGATTTTTTGTATTTTTAGTAGAGACGGGGTTTCATCCTTTTACCCTAGATGGTCTCCACCTCCTGACCTCGTGATCCACCTGCCTTGGTCTCCCAAAGTGCTGGGATTACAGGCGTGAGCCACTGTGCCCAGCCTGGCCTATTATTCTTACATTTAGTAACACTAGTGATAGTAAAATCGTCATCCTCTTAAGGGTAAATGTGAGCTGGAAAAGTTTTTAAAAGGTAGGTGGATTTGTCTGATGGAAAAGATGATTAAGCTTGACAGTACAATGGTATAGAAAACTCTAGATCTCATTAACGAGACGTATTTTAGGACATTGTGCATTTGGCTCTGATGACAGATTCAAAGAACAAATGTCAAAGTATTTTGAGCAACAACCAGCATTATGAGAAAAGATGCCTTCTTTCTCAAGGAGACGCTTTTTTTTGGATGGAGTCTTGCTGTATCAGCCTGGAATGCAGTTGGCATGATCTTGGCTCACTGCGATCTCCGCCTCCCAAGTTCAAGTGATTCCCCTGCTTCAGCCTGCTGTGTAGCTGGGACTACAGGCACGCACCATCATGCCTGGCTAATTTTTTGTATTTACCATGTTGGCGGGGATGGTCTCGACTTCCTGACCTCATGATCCACCCGCCTCAGCCTCCCAAAGTGCTGGGATTATAGGCATGAGCCACCGCGCCCAGCCAGGAGACACATTTTAAAAATTTATTAACTTTTTACTTGACCAAAAATGGAATCCATTTATTTTATACAGTAAGTTGTTTTGAAGTATGTATACATTAAAGAATGGCTAAATCAAGCTAATTAACATATGCAGTACTTCACATACTTATAATTTTTTTGTGGTGAGAACACTTAAAATCTGTTCTCTGAGTACTTTTCAAGAATATAATATGTTGTTGTTATTCATAGCCCCCATGTTGGAAAGCAGATCTAGATCTCTTGGATTTATTCTATCAAGGAAACATATTTAAAGGAAAATACTCATAACGATGCGTGAATTTGTGGCTAGTTTATATCACGTTTACTTTTTTTTAAATTTTACTCTAAGTTTCAGGATACTTGTGCAAACATGTAGGTTTGTTACATAGGTACACGTGTATCATGGTGGTTTGCTGCACGTATCAATCCATCATCTAGGTTTCAAGCCACACATGCATTAGCTATTTGTCCTGATGCTCTCCCTCCCCGCAACAAGCCCCAGCGTGTGTTTTTTCCCTCTCTGTGTCCATGTTGTTTCACTGTTCAGCTCCCACTTAAGAGTGAGAACATGCGGTGTTTGGTTTTCTTTTCCTGTGTTGGTTTGCTGAGGATGATGGTTTCCAGCTTCATCCATGTCCTTGCAAAGGACATGATCTTATTCCTTTTTATATCTGCATTGTATTCCATGGTGTGTATGTGTACCAAATTTTCTTTATCCAGTCCATTGAGGGGCATTTGGGTTCCATGCCTTTGCTATTGTAAATAGTTATATTAGCTTTACTTTTAATTTCCTGGGTTACAACTGCCTTATAGAAATTAAGAAGTTCTAAATGGCTTCTGTTTGTCCTCGGATGTCAAGATTCTCTTGTTTCTTTCTCTGCCCGGAGAGCACTTATCAGATAGGGAGGGCACAATTCCTGCCTTTCTCTGACAGTCAGGATAACCCTATTGTCAGTGAGGACCTGCCATGCTGGTACTCACCAATCCCTGCCAACCCTCATCACGGAAAGCTGGTTGGTTGGGTTTCTGTGGTTTTGCCCCAGCAAGTGCTCCCATATGAAGTGCGGTAATTCGTGGTGCGCATCTCTCCATGTTAACAGAGTTCTACATTCATTCATTCATCCATGATTTATAAATATTTTATAATGCCTTTTACTTGCCAAGTATTGAGACAATATAAATTTATGGAACAAGGAAGGAGATGAGTGCTGGTCAGAAGGATGTAAGGGTAGTCATCGTGTGGGATGTTGCCTGCTGGTGACAATTTGGCAACCTAGTTCTGAGAAAGAACAGGTATAATGAGACTTGTATTTTGGGAGGAAGGAGGAAGAAATGCTCAGTCTTCCTGGGGGAGATAGGAAAGTACAGATATTGTCGTAGAATATTCAAGGCGGTCTGGGGTACTTAATATTCACATGCTGGAGGCTGGGGGCCCAGGGTCCAAGGACATCATGCTCTTTCCAAACTCACATTCCTGCCTTCTGGCACAGCACCTCCAACTCTTGAGCACACTCGTGCCCCAACATGAGGAGTAAGGGTATTTATATAGCCTATTTTATATATTTCAATTGCCTTTTGAAATATTTTTTTCTGTTGAGTAAGAAATACATATAAAATTCAGAAAAAATATATAAAAACATAAACAAGGAAAACAAAGATCAGCTACAATCCCACCGTCTAGAAAGAATCATTTTTTATATATATTCTTCTAGATAATTTTGTATTTATATTGTAGATTTTTTTAATTAAAAGGTTATTCAACCATATAGGTTAGTAAGCTGCTCTTTCACTACCTATGTGGTTGGTGTAACGTGGTGTACATCCTCTCCATGTTAACAGAATTCTACATTACATTGTTAGTGGCCACATAATATTCCATTAGATTGTATTCTTACATGTCTTCACTTTTTACTATTAAAATGATTTTGGATCATTTACAGTGATTTAAAAGATAATCAGTTTACGCTGGGTGTGGTGGCTCACACCTGTAATCCAAGCACTTTGGAGGCCAAGGCGGGTGGATCACCTGAAGTCGGGAGTTCAAGACCAGCCTGACCAACATGGTGAAACCTCATCTTAAAAATAAATAAATAAGATAATCAGTTTCCTTTTTACTTATTATGCATTTTCAATTTAAGATACACCAGAAGCTAACATTCTACTGAATTTTATAAGAGAAAATAAAGAAACAAACATTGTGGATGATGAAATTGACAGCTATTTCAAAGAATCCATAAATTGTAAGTGACCTTTTAAGTATATTGGATTTTTTTTAAAGACTGAAATTGTGCCTGTAAAGATTTCCTTGACATGGTACAAGATACTACATTCATTTTCTGTATCTACTGTATTTCAACTTTTCTAAAGGTAGTTTAAAATAGTGGGCATCTTTTTCTTTTCTTTCTTTCTTTTTTTTTTCTTGAGACAGAGTCTCTCTCTGTTCCCCAAGCTGGAGTATAGTGGCACAATCTCGGCTCACTGCAACCTCCACCTCCCGGGTTCAAGTGATTCTCCTGCCTCAGCCTTCCAAGTTGCTGGGGTTACAGGCACCCGCCACCATGCCCAGCTAATTTTTGTATTTTTAGTAGAGACAGGGTTTTGCCATGTTGACCAGGCTGGTTTTGAACTCCTGACCTCAGGTGATCTGCTCACCTCGACCTCCCAAAGTGCTGGGATTACAGGTATGCACCACCATGCCTGGCTAATTTTTGTAGTTTTAGTATTGACAGGGTTCCACCATGTTGGCTGGGCTGGTCTCAAACTCCTGACGTCAGGTGATCCACCTGCCTCAGCCTCCCAAAGTGCTGGAATTACAGGCATGAGCCACCACACCTGCCTGTAATTTTTGTATTTTTAGTAGAGACGGGATTTTGCTGTGTTGGCTAGGCTGGTCTTGACTCTTGACCTCAGCTGATCTGCCCACCTTGACCTCCCAAAGTGCTGGGATTACAGCACCACGGTGCCTGGCCCAACAATAATTTTTTGTTTGTTTCTTTGGTTGGTTTTGTTTTTCAGATGGAGTCTTGCTCTGTTGCCCAGGCTGGACTGCAGTGGCGCGATCTCAGCTCACTGCAGCCTCTGCCTCCCGGGTTCCAGTGATTCTCCTGCTTCAGCCTCCTGGATAGCTGGGATTACAGGTGCACACCACCACACTGGGCACATTTTTCTATTTTTAGTAGAGACAGCGTTTACCATGTTGGCCAGTCTGGTCTCAAACTCCTCACCTCAGGTGATCTACCCAATTTGGCCTTCCAAAGTGCTGGGATTACAGGCATGAGCCACTGCACACAGCCTAAAAATGGTTTTTAAGCATTCCTTTTTCTTTTATTTTACTGTGGGAGCTTTGATAATTAAATTCACCCAGATTTATAAAAATAAAAACTGAATGTTTTATCTTTTTTTTTTTTTTGAGATGGGGCCAAAAGAGAAGAAAATAAAAATTAATAAAAATAAAAAATGAAAAAACAAAAATTAAAAAAAAAAAAGAAGGAGCGATGGGGTCTCACTCTATTGCCCAGGCTGGAGTGCAGTGATGCAGTGGCATCTTACTGCAGCTTCAAACTCTTGGGCTCAAGTGATCCTCTCACCCCAGCCTCTGGAGTACTGGGGACCACAGGCACACACGACTGTGCTGGACTAATTTTTTGTATTCTTGGTAGAAAATGAGTTTTGCCAGGTTGCTCAGGCTGGTCTCAAACTCTTGAGCCCAGCGATTTGCTTGCCTTAGCCTCCCAAAGTCCTGGGATTACAGGTGTGAGCCACGGTGCCTGACCTTTTTTATCTTTTAAAATGCTCATTACTCCCATGAAAACCTCATATGTAGAAATTGATTACATATTTTAGAGTAAAACTATAATCATGCTTTCTTTAGAATTTTATATTTTATTAAAAATTAAAATGCTCAGAATTTTAAAAGTAGGCTGGGTGCAGTAACTCACACCTATAATCCCAGCACTTTGGTAGGCTGAGGTGGGTGGATCATTTGAGCCCAGGAGTTCATGAGACCAGCCTGGCCAATGTGGCTATACCCTGTCTCTACTAAAAACACACAAATTAGCTGGGCATCATGGGATATGTCTGTAGTTTCAGCTACTCGGGAGGCTGAGGCAGGAGAATCTCTTGAACCTGGGAGGCGGAGGTTGCAGTGAGCCGAGATCATGCTATTGCACTCCAGCCTGGGTCGCAGAGCGAGACTCCATCTCAAAGAAAAAATAAAAGAAACAGGCTGGGTGCGGTGGCTGACGCCTGTAATCCCAGCACTTTGGGAGGCTGAGGCGGGAGAATCACTTGAGGTCAGGAGTTCGTGACCAGCCTGGCCAACATAGTGAAACCCCATCTCAAAAAAACAAACAAACAAAAAAGAAACAAAGTATGGAATTCTTGGCAGAACATGGTGGCTCACACCTATAATCCCAGCACTTTGGGAGACTGAGGTGGATGGATCACTTGAGGTCAGGAATTTGAGGCTGGCCTGGCTAACATGGTGAAACCCTGTCTCTACTAAAAATACAAAAAATGAGCCAGGTGTGGTGGCAGGCACCTGTAGTCCCAGCTACTCTGGAGGCTGAGGCAGGAGAATTGCTTGAAGCTGGTGGGTGGAGGTTGCAGTGAGCCAAGATTGTGCCATTGCACTCCAGCCTGGGTGACAGAGTGAGACTCAAAAAAAAGAAAAAAGAAACACAATACAGAATGCAACAAACGGTCCCAACTAAACAGTTATTTGGTTAACGTATTTTAATCTGTCTTTTTGTGCATATACAATAATAGAAGGATAAAGACAAAACTATTATAGATAAATAGATATACGTCACCATCTGTTTATTGAAGAAAACTAAATTTCATGTACCAGACATCAACGAAAGAAAAGAAACCAATGAAGTTCCTTCAGCAGAAGGAACCGGATAACTTCTGATAAAAGTTTTCTTACCCAAGTAATATTTGTTCTTGGAAGATTCTTCTAAGATAAATAAAAATAAAAATGAATAATAGGTTATTGTTTTTAGTTTCGTAAAGTTTCTTTTTGTTATTGCTTCACATCCTCACCAATGTTTGTGTTATTAGTCTTTTAAATGTTAGGTGTTTAGTGTAATTCTACTCTTGTTTAATTTGCATTTTCCTGATGATTAATGAGGCCAGTATGTGTAGTGGCCATTTTGATAACTTTTTTTGTGATGTACTTTTAAAAGTCTCTTCCCCATTTAAAAAATTGAGTCCCTGTTTTTCCTAATTGATTTTTAAGAATTCTTTAGATGATTCTGGATGAGTCCTTTGTCTCATTGTAGACTGCTAGCATCTCCCAGTCTGTGGCTTGACTTTTCACTTTTTTAATGGAGTCTTTAGATGACCAGAAATTCTTTATATGAAGACTCATTTCATTTCCCTTTTTTTGCTTATATGTCCATTTACATAATCTGTTTTTATATAGCCAACATAGTAATTTTTCTGTTACTTAAGCTACTGCATGTTCTCAGTTAACTTAATAGCTTTCCATTTGAATATAATCCTTTGAGTTCTTAGAATATACACAGAACTGTAATACTTCTTTTTATTTTTAGTAAGTACAATAGTTGATGTCTATACAGTTGAACAATTAAAGGTAAAAGCTTTGAAGAATGAAGGAAAAGCTGATCCTTTCTATGGCATCCTTTATGCCTACATTTCTGCACTGAACATTGATGATGAAACTACAAAAGTGGTTCGAAATAGATGGTAAGGACCCACATTATTTTAACATTCATTTTTGTAAGCAATAATTGTTGCTAATAAATTTTAGCTCTCTGAAAGTTAAAGCCCTTTGTTGACGTAACAGGGGTTATGCATTCAAGATCAATGTATAAACAAACCATACTGAAGAGTTCCCATAGCAAACCAAATTAAAATATTATAATTACCTTCTAGGAGAAAATATAATCTGTATTTCTGCAATTCTAACAAAAAAGATCTAATGTGAGAAACTTTTAACTAGGAAGACACATTTGTCTAGTGATTTGGCAGAAAACTATCTTAGTTCCTATGCCCTATAGCAATGTAGTGACAGCATTAAAATAAAATTATTTTCTGTCGGGCACAGTGGCTCACATCTGTAATCCCAGCACTTTGGGAAGCTGAGATGGACAGATTGCCTGAGCTCAGGAGTTCGCAACCAGCCTGGGCAACACGGTGAAACCCCGTCTCTACTAAAAATATAAAAAATTAGCCAGGTGTGGTGGTGCATGCCTTTAGTCCCAGCTACTCGGGAGGCTGAGGCAGGAGAATTGCTTGAAACTGGAAAATGGAACTTGCACTGAGCCAGGATTGCGCCACTGCACTCCAGCCTGGCAATAGAGGGATACTCTGTCTCAAAACAAACAAAAACATAAAAAATTAGCTGGGCATGGTGGTGCGTGCCTGTAGTCCCAGCTACTCGGGAGGCTGAGGCAGGAGAATTGCTTGAACCCAGGAGGTGGAGGTTGCAGTGAGCCACGATTGCGTCATTGCACTCCAGCCTAGGCAACAAGAGCTAAACTGTCTCAAAAAAGAAAAAAAAAAAGAAAGTAAACTCCAGTAGATTTAATACTCTTTTTTTTTTGCTCTTGTTACTATCACTTGCAAGTACCATGCCACAGCCAGAATATTGACACCATTCAATCCACTGGTCTTATTCAAATTCCTCCAGGTTCACGTGCAGTCATGTGTTCTAATTAGTTTTATCCACTTGTAGGTTTGTGTATCTATAGCTACAGTCAAGATATGGACCTCTGGATTTTTAAAACATTTTATAATGTGATATTAGAGTTGAAAAAGCTAATGTGTAGGGTGCTGTGTAGGGCCTTGTGTTCATTTTTTGAAAAATAGTTTTCTCAAAAATTAAAAATTTTCCCTGTACATTTATTATTATCTGAGGAAAAGCATCTAAAATTTGCTAAACCAAGTGATCTGTGGCCAGACAAGAAACCACTATCTTTAGTTCATTTCCTCTATTTGAGAAACTTGAATTAGGCTCCCTATTCAAAATTTCTGAAGTCAGACTTGCTTCAGAACTATTGAATAGCATAAACCACTGAAAGAGAGGCAAGTGTATCACCAGCAGTGTTAGTAGCATCTGGGTGCCACCTGGTCAGCTTTGCAGGGCTTTCTGTATTTGTAGAGAAGACCCTGTGCAGGACCATCCAGTGAGCAGCTGTTGAATTTGTGCTTTCCAGGCACAAGACACAATTCCTGCCCTCAAACTCCCAGTCGGTGAGGAGAAAATAAGGAGCCGATGCGACAGCACGAGCCATTCCTGAGGCGTGCGCTCTGCTGCTGTTCCAGGAGGGACAGCGTGCCGGCTGGGGCTGGGATGTAGGAAGGGAGGGCTCCAGCAGGGAAATAAGGCTGGGCTGGACCTTGAGGGCTTAGCGGAACCAGCAGAGGGAGGGAAGAAGGGAGGGCAGAGAGAGGACTGGTGTACGAAGTTTCAGATGAATCCTGAGAATTGCTGCACAGAAAGTGTGTTTTACTGTTTTTTATGACTGTCTTGTACTCTACACAGCACTGAACACTCAGTAGGTTTTCCAGACACTGACTTAGAGTTTTTAGTGATAATCCTTTTTCTGCTAAAGATGAAACGTGTCGCTTAGAGCCATCACATTTTATCACTGTCTGTTTCTTTTCAGTTCCAGCTGTGGTTATATTGTAAACGAAGCATCTAACATGTGCACAACTTGCAACAAAAACTCCTTGGACTTTAAATCTGTCTTTGTCAGTTTTGAAATGCTGATCGATCTGACTGATCACACAGGTACCCTTCATTCCTGTAGTCTCACAGGAAGTGTTGCTGAAGAGACTTTGGGCTGCACGGTAAATCGCAAAAAGGAAGAAATGTTTAGAATAATTCCAAAGTGAATGCTTTTTCCCAAAAAATATAGGTTGTTTTGTCAAACATTTGATGGAAATTAATTCACTAATAAACAGGTCTGGGAAAAAAATTATCTTGCTTTAAACACACATTGCTTTAATGAACAAATGTTACATATTTTATGTTAAAATTTTAGCTAATACTTACTGTTATGATAATGACTAAGGCCATTAGGCTAAATGGAGAAATAAACATGACGGTTTAGGGCTGGACGCAGTGGCTCATGCCTATAAAAACCCAGCACTTTGGGAGGCCAAGGAGGGTGGATCACTTGAGGTCAGGAGTTTGAGACCAGCCTGGCCAATATGGCGAAACCTGTTTCTACTAAAAATACAAAAATTAGCTGGGCATGGTGATGCACACTTGTAATCCCAGGTACTCAGGAGGCTGGGGCACAAGAATCCCTTGAACTCAGGATGTGGAAGTTGCAGCGAGCCAAGATCATGCCACTGCACCCCAGCCTGAGTGACAGAGCAAGACTGTCTCAAAAAACAACAACAGGCAGAGCATAACAGTGCACACCTGTAATCCCAACACTTTGGGAGGCCGAGGCGGGCGGATCACAAGGTCAGGAGTTGAAGACCAGCCTGGCCAAGGTGGTGAAACCCTGTGTTTACTAAAAATACAAAAATTAGCCAGGCATGGTGGTAGGCGCCTGTAATCCCAGCTACTTGGGAGGCTGAGGCAGAGAGCTACTTGAACCCAGGAGGTGGAGGTTGCAGTGAACCGAGATCGCACCACTGCACTCCAGCCTGGGAGACAGAGAGAGACTCTGAAAAAACAACAACAACAAAAAACAAAATTTATTTATTTATTTTTACTCTTTTTTTTGAAATGAGGTTTTACCATGTTAGCCAGGCTGGTCTCGAACCCCTGACTTCAGGTGATCTGCCCGCCTCGGCCTCCCAAAGTGCTGGGATTACAGGTGTGACCCACTGTGCCTGGCCCAAATATGATGTTTTATATAGTCAAGTAACAACAAGTTGGAAATGTTGATGAGTCCTAAGGTGCTTTTTTCTGGGAGGATATGGCTGTGTTTCACCTACCCAGTTACATAAAGTCAACCAGAAGTTTTCTCCCTTACTTAGCGATTGGCATGTGCATTTGGCAATAGGCACTTGTTTTTTATTGTTAAAACCAGCTCAGGAAATTTACCATTAGCTTTATTACCAAATTCTGTTTCCACTTTATTGAGAGGAGTTTTCCTTGCTGAGCTACCCAATCGCCTTTTGAGATTGTTTATATAGCCTTTCCTGCCTTATCTTCTCTGTCAAAACAATGTTTTTGGCTGTGCATGGGGGGTCACACCTGCAATCCTAGCACTTTGGGAGGCTGAGACAGGAGGATCGCTTGAGGCCAGGAGTTCAAGATCACCCCGGGCGACGTAGTGAGACCGTCTTTACAAAAAATAAAATATAAAACAGCCCAGCAACAGTATGCATACCTGTAATTTGAGAAATTTGGGATTTTTATAGACCTTTGTTGGTCTATTTTTTCTTCTTTTTGAAATGGAGTCTCATTCTGTTGCCAGGCTGCAGTGTAGTGGCATGATCCCCGCAACTTCTACCTCCCAGGTTCAAATGATTCTTCTGCCTCAGCTTCCCAAGTAGTGGGGACTACAGGCACACACCACCATGCCCAGCTAAATTTTGTATTTTTTAGTAGAGACAGGGTTTCACCATGTTGGCCAGGATGGTCTTGATCTCTTGACCTTGTGATCCGCCCACCTCGGCCTCCCAGAGTGCTGGCATTACAGGTGTCAGCCACCGCGCCCGGCCTCTTGGTCTATTTTCTTTGATGTCTTTGGGAACTCCTTTAAACAATATGAAAAAAAAAAAAACCTGGCTATTTCCTTTGTTTTTAGGGTAGCTGAGTCCTTATGCACATCCGGAACTCAGCATAAAGTAGAATAAAAAACAAGTGCCTCTTTGGCTAGAGTCACAGAAGGCAAAACAACAACAGCAACAACAAAATACCTCTTGCCAAATGCAAACGAACGCCTGAGCTGGAATTACTGCAAATAGAATTTCATTGCCCATGAGAAAGTTTGTTTCACACCGTTGTCAAAATGAATTGTCTGTGCAAACTTCAGATATATTTGTCTCATCTTTTTTTTTTAATCAGGTAAATGAGTTTCTTGCAATGACAGATGAACAGAAAACAGCATTAAAGTGGCAATTTCTCTTGGAAAGAAGCAAAGTTTATTTAAAAGTTAGTGCATTTTATAGTGCCATACTATTCTATATATTCAAACCATAAGAAAAACCTAGATAAATTCAGGAATTTATGATTTCTAAGCCCAGTTCCAGATGTGCATAAGGATTCAGTTTCCCTAAAAACAAAGGAAATAGCCAGGGGTTCTTTTCATATTATATAAAGGGGTTGCCAAAGACATCTAAGAAAGTAGACCAACAAAGAAAATACCCTTTAAGGTTAAATCCAAAGCCGGGCAAAGGACTTTAAAGTCAGAGCTGCTGCCTGCAATAGTGCATGCCTGTAATCCCAGCTACATGGTAGGCTAAGGTGGGAGGATCGCCTCAACGCAGGAGTTTGAGGCCAGCGAGGGCAACACAGTGAGACCCCTTCTTGTCCCCCCAACCCTAAACGGTCAGACTGGGTTGTCCCCACTCCCACTCACCCTGTGGTGCTGCCCTTCACTTAATGAGGCAGTGTAAGATGCACAGGTAAGTGCTTGTGTTGTGGTGGGGAGACAGATTTGGTCTGAATCCTAATCCCACCACACCTCAGCCTGTGCGACCCTGCGGAGGATAATTCACTTTGCTAACCTGCAAAATTCCATGATCTTCCAACTCTGAAAGGCCACAGCTGCCTCCCAAGGCACTAACAATACTAAAGTGTGGAAGATCGTAGAGTCTTAGTGTTCAAGGTGTCGGGGGGGAAGTGCAGTGAGACAGACTCCCCTGTTGCAGATGAGAAAAGTGGAACCAAGAAGTGTTGCCACTTGCTCTGGGTCACAGGTGAGACTGGACTCAGCCAGCCTTATTGTTTGACTTCATGCTTCTCAACTCTTTTCTCTTGTAGTCTCCTGTAAGCCAATGTGCTCCTGTTTGTGTGGGTTATATCTACTGATATTTGCTGTATTGGAACTTAATAGCGAAAAAATTTTTAAATATTCTAGGGCACACATTCCAATTGTGTCAGACTAATGGTATCATAGAGCCTCTAGAAAACATCGTGTGCTGATGAGAGAATTAGTATTATGATGAAATTGGTTTTCATCTCGTGGACACCCTGCAGGAGCATTTGTGAATGCTGTCTCTCCTGCATCTCTCAGCCTTATAAGCAGGTTTTCCCATTTTCCATGGACACCAGCTCTTAGAAATAATTTCCAGACATGGAGTCTTCAGTGGCCTTACCAATATTTCTAGGACCTCGGCTTGAGGCCTCTTTTATTACCAGGTCAAAGAATAAAAGTTGCAGTAAGATGCTGCATCACTTCAACGGTTAGCATGGGCCCTTAGAGACTGTCACAAGTCAGGGCAAGCTCAAGTCCTTGACCAACTCTGTACGCTTTCCCTCTAGATAGGAGGCACCACTTGTTAATGAATCTGATCAATTGAAGTTCATGGGAACTTTAAGAGTTTTGATTTTAAATCTGATTCAATATAACAATGAATGGCCCTCAAGTCAAAGGATACTGGACTTTCCCAGAGAACATGTTTAACAGATGTTCCTGGTGGCTTTCACAAATACTCACAATTAGGGACAAGCTGCTTGGTGCATTAGATAACACAGTATTTTACAAATAAAAAGACGTAAAATCCAAAACCAAAATCCAGAAACCCTCACTCATACAAAAATACTATAACATATGTTGAAGATTTAACTTATTAATTAATGAAGGAATCAGGAACATGTAGGGGGGGAAAAGATTCAAAGGGGAATTGGAAGAATAGATACATAGGCAGGCAGTGCAAAATGCTGAATGGGTTTGCTTGTAGATGCACCACTGGACTCTTCTACAGGGCAGAGCCAATGCATCTTCACTCAGACACACTTCATGGGGATTCCATGAGCAGGACCATGCGCGTCCCTATCAGCTTTCTACAACCTATTTCTAAAACAGCTCAGTCTGTGCAATGGGAGGTGCAGCCCTGTAGAGTCAGACAGCTCTGAAGGTGTTCCAGCCAATGCCGCCGCCACCACATTCCACTGAAAGGGTACCCACTTAGTGCCCATTTAGTCTTTTACAATTTTCCGTCACATTGTACATTTTTTTCCTCAGTCTTGAAATTAAAATGGTTGATATGTCCTTCCACTCTATATTAAATAAAATGTTGGTTAAAGTGCTGTATAAATTGTAAAAAGTGAGACTGTTATTAGTAAGTTATATCATCATATTCCTGTAATCTCACAGATTGAGTCCCTGATACAGCTTGAAGTCTGTTTGAATACACATTAAGCCCTTTTTCCTATGTTAGACTTTATTTATTTATTTGTTTGTTTGTTTGTTTGTTTATTTTTTGAGACTGAGTCGCTCTGCTTGCTCTGTCACCCAGGCTGGAGTGTGTGATGTGATCCCAGCTCACTGCAGTCTCAACCTCCCCAGGCTCAAGTAATCCTCCTGCCTCAGCCCCCGAGTAGCTGGGACTACAGTTGCGCACCACCACGGCTGTCTAATTTTTATATTCTTAGTAGAGACAGGGTTTCACTTTGTTGGCCAGGCCAGTCTTGAACTTCTGGCCTCAAGCGATCCGCCTGCCTTGGCCTCCCAAAGTGCTGGGATTATAGGCGTGAGCCACCGCACCCAGCCCTGCATTAGACTTTTAATCCCAATTTTCCTATATGAGAGAAATAGCATGAAAAGTGACATAAATTTTTACTAAATCAGTCGGAAGCCAGGCCTGGAAATTATCAACCATACTCTGAGACTGGGGCTCTTACCATCATCTTAAAACTTCAATGGGCCGGGCGCGGTGGCTCACGCCTGTAATCTCAGCACTTTGGGAGGCTGAGGTGGGTGGATCATGAGGTCAAGAGATCGAGACTATCCTGGTCAACATGGTGAAACCCCGTCTCTACTAAAAATACAAAAAAATTAGCTGGGCATGGTGGTGCGTGCCTGTAATCCCAGCTACTTGCGAGGCTGAGGCAGGAGAATTGCCTGAACCCAGGAGGCGGAGGTTGTGGTGAGCCGAGATCACGCCATTGCACTCCAGCCTGGGCAACAAGAGCGAAACTCCGTCTCAAAAAAAAAAAAAAAAAAGAAATTAAAACTTCAATGGAAGTTTATATTAGTATCTGTAAACAAACTTTCATTGTGGCTCTCTATTTGTGATCATTGAGTTTCACCTTTATATACACAGCGATTTTAAAAACTAAACTTTGTCTCTTTCTCTGTTTCTCCCTGCAGTTTGTTGTATCGCATAGAGCAAGGAGTGGATTGAAAATTAGTGTGCTGTCATGCAAGCTTGCAGATCCCACTGAGGCGAGCAGAAACTTGTCTGGATAAAAACATGTTTAAAATAGTCTATCATTCTAAACTCTGGAAAAGTATAGAGTTTTAACTCCCTTTAAAATGGAATACTAATTTGAAAATTATGGGGAAAATTTTGTTTTGTTTACATGTGACTAATATGTTTCTAGAAACTGTTATGGTGGAACTGGTCTGGGGCGAGTCTGAAGGCCTCTCTCATCTGACCTCCTTTCCTAGAAGGCCTCCTGCTGGCTTTGCCTTGTCTCCTCCCAAGTTGGAAAATGTTTACATAAATTAATAAACATTTAGTGTTCTACCGATTTGAATTATTTATATTCTTAAGCCAGTTTATTCTTTGGTTCCCTGGAAAAAGAGTAGGACCTCTAAAGACGAACTTCTGAGAGCTGGGTAGTGGCTTGTCATCTGACAGGACAGGGCAAGGGGCTCTCGGCGCCAGGTGGGAAAAGCCAAAGTTGTGGGCAATTCTGTGCAACTGCTTTCAGCAACTGGAGCTTTTTTCTAGCCCCTGGTCTTCTCCGGTGACACACTGGATTGCCCAGTGCTTGTGGAGGCTTGCTGGCTCACGGCTGACATGACTGAGTCTGAATCAACTGGGAGGAGACCAACTTCAAAAGTTTCATGAGCGTGCCCAAGTCTCAGAACTCTGAAGGGGACCTACTCAGGATGTGAGGACGACAGCTGCCATTTCATCTCCGTTTTCTCTGCAGCAGCCACAAAGCAGACTGCTCAACTCCACGCCATCGAGTCACTTGCTTCAGGGCACTGACTCCAGACTGTGAAGACAGACCCACAGCCTGGGAGGTTTAGCCACCACAGGATTGAGGAAAAGGAAAAAGTGAGTATATGAAGCTGTTTCCTAAGGCTGGTGTTGGGACATAGACTATCTTGTCGGTAATGTTTTATCTGGCTTTTACCATGTGCAGCGACAGAGGAAGGATGCAGGTTCACCCCTAAGTATTCAAATTGTGGTAACAAACAAGGTAATGAATGACTTGACCTAGTTGTGCAGAACAGGCCTTCCATCCTCCCTTAGGGAGAAGTTGGGGGTTGTGAAGCAAGGTGAATGGGGAGGATGGACAGAGAAGGAAGGACAAAGAGCCGTGGAGGGCCAGGCAGGAGAGGAAAGAATTGAGGATGCTGTGGCTGGCACTGGCTTGGCTCCCACTGTTGGTTCAGCAACAGTGGCTATGGTGCCCCCTACACTGAGCCCTGTATCTAGGAACTTAGGACATGCCACCTAATTTTAGGTTAATTTTTAAAAAATTTGTAGAGACAGGGATCTTGCCATTTTGCCCAGGATGGCCTTCAATTTCCTGGGCTCAAGTGATCCACCTGCCTCAGGCTCCCAAATTGTTGGGATTACAGGCATGAGCCACTGCACTCAGCCTAAGTTCAGCAATTTTATTGGCCCTCATATTTGCTAATATTTTTGTTGTATGAATTCTGCTTTTTTGTTTTCTGAGACAAGGTCTCACTATGGTGTCCAGTTCGGTCTCAAACACCTGGGCTCAAGTGATCCTCCCATCTTAGCCTCCCAAAGAGCTGGGATTACAGGTGCACATGACTGAGCACAGCTATTCTGCTTTTATAACTTGAATATTTTTCCTACTATATAATTACACTTACATTTTTAAGAAAAAGAGTAAAATAATTAAATGAAGGTTTTAGCATATTTGAATTAAGTGTGTTGAGAGGTAATATAAAACTATCTTGAAAACAAAGATACTGTACCAACAGGTATGCTAAAGATGTGCCAAGTAGCCTTGTTAAAAAAAAAAAAGAATATAAACATATAGATGTCAGCTTTCCTATGACAGAACAGCAAATTAAAATGACTATAGCCATGATACCCAGCATTGGCTAGACTGTCCGAGTAAAGGTGTTCCTAAACACTCTTGTCAAGTGCAACATGGTATTTTTTTCCTCTGCAATTTGGCAAAAAGTGTCAAAATTTCAAAGTGCAAACCATTTCATTGATTTCACTTCTAAGACTTCCCTAAGGAAATAAACAAGTGCCAGTGATGTAGAGCAGTGGCCCCAACCTTTATGGCACCTAGGACTGGTTTTGTGGAAGGCAGTTTTTCCACAGATGGCGGAGAGGGGGCGACGGTTTCAGGATGGAAATGTTCCACCTCAGATCCAGGCATTAGATTCTTAAGAGGAATGCGCAACCTAGATCCGTCGCCTGCATAGTTTACAATAGGGTTCACACTTCTATGAGAATCTAATGCCATCACTGATCGGATAGGAGACAGAGCTCAGGCAGTAATGCTCACTTGCCTCCTGCTTTGCGGCCCAGTTCCTAACAGGCCACAGGCTGGTGGTGGTCGGTGACCTGGAGGTTGGGGACCTTTGATGTAGAGTATATAGAAGATGCTCCTTGCATCATTTCCTTTTTTCTTTTTGAAATGGAGTCTCATTCTGTCACCCAGGCTGGACTGAAATGGTGTGATCTCAGCTCACTGTAACCTCTGTCTCCTGGGTTCAAGCAGTTCTTCCTCAGCCTCCTGAGTATCTGGGATTACAGGCACACACCACCATGCCCAGCTAACTTTTAGTAGAGATGAGGTTTCACCATTTTGGCCAGGCTGGTCTCACACTTCTGACCTTGTGATCCACACACCTTGGCCTCCCAGAGTGCTGAGATTACAGGTGTGAGTCACCGCACCTGGCCACATTGTTTCTAATAGCAGAGCATCTGAAACCTGTGCAACCTATAGGGGATGCCCCACCTAGAACTCTTCACTTGCTGAAGTTCCTCAGCTTCTATGAGGGTCAGAAAATTACTTGATGAGGCTATGGAAGAGGCAGGGAAAGCATATTCTGGTGCCAACACACTCCTTGCTCCAGAGCTTCACTTTGGGTTCATCAGTTGACTGAAGCTGGTGTCCAGCTCGGAGGCCACTTTCTTCCTTGGAGTTTGCTCACTCTACTTCACTGCGCTTCTCCTGAGAGCTCTCCATCAGCAAATCATGGGAACAAGAATGTGCTTCTGGGGTACATGATCCAAGATATGCCATTAAAAAGGGTTATGTATACCCATATTCACTATTTTAAGCGGATGTGTAATACTCATTTTTTAATAAAAGCCCACTGAACATGTTTTAAAAACACAACAGAACAGGTGTCAAGCCATATAGTCTGTGCAGACTAATATACTGTGGAATTATTATTATTGTTTTAGATGGAGTTTCACTCTTGTTGCCCAGGCTGGAGTGCAGTGGTGGGGTCTTGGCTTACCACAACCTCTGCTTCCCGGGTTCAAGTGATTCTCCTGCCTCAGCCTCCCGAGTAGCTAGGATTTACAGGCATGTGCCACCATGCCCTGCTAATCTTTTTTTGTTTTGTTTTGTTTTTAGTAGAGATGGGGTTTCTCCATGTTGGTCAAACTCCCAACCTCAGATGATCTGCCCGCCTCAGCCTCCCAAAGTACTGGGATTACAGGTGTGAACCATTGCGCCTGGCTGGAATTTTCTTAAATGTGATAACGATCTCTTTTTTTTTTTTGGACAGAGTCTCGCTCTGTTGCCCAGGCTGGAATGCTGTGGCATGATTTTGGCTTACTGCAACCTCTGCCTCCCAGGTTCAAGCAGTTCTCTGCCTCAGCCTCCAGAGTAGCTAGGATTACAGGGGCCCACCATCACACCCGGCTAATTTTTATATTTTTACTAGATAGTGGGTTTCACCATCTTGGCCAGGCTGGTCTTGAACTCCTGACCTCATGATCCACCCGCCTCGGCCTCCCAAAGTGCTGGGATTACAGGCATGAGCCACCACACCTGGCCAGTCTCATATCTATGTAGGCGAATATCCTGATTCTTAGGAGATCTATGCTAAAAGGGCAGAGTGTTTCTGCAGTTAGCATCCCAACACATTTCTAAAATAAGGCTGTGTGTGTATTTATGTGTGTATATATATATATATATGTAGAGAGAGAGAGAGAGGTGCAATGTGTATATATACATGCATGTGGGGGGAGGGAGAGACACAGGACCAGAGGACATAGTGAATGTTAATAATCGTTGAATCTGTTAAAGGGTATATGGAGTTCCCTGTATTAGTCTTTCAACTTTTTCATAGGATTAAATGTATTCAAAATAAGTGGAAAAGTGTATCTTTTGAATGCTGGGATTATGATTTTAGCAACATCAAGAATTGTTGGACTTGGGGGTCTCTTGTTTTTGATTCTTGTATCTCAGCGTTTCGTGTGCCTACACCTGCAATGCTGATGTTGATGTTTGTGACAAAGCTTGTTCTACCACTGGGTTGAACACTGACCCCAGGGGCACAGTACTCGGTGCTGGCTTGTGCCACCTACTAGGGCTGCATGTGAACAGTGCTCCTGCTTTATACCTTTGGCTTTAATAGTCTGTTAACTTGGTAGATTATCTCAGCTGAACCTTGTACCTGCTAGCTAGACTAATAACACACTTTCAGGATGAGCACGCCCTTGGATCCAACTCTTCCACTTATTGGGAACCTAGCCAAAGGGAATAACAGCTCATGTGCTGACACCAGCAAATCATTAGAGACAATCTCTTTAGCAGCATCACCTAGAAACAAAACAAGAAAAAAAGACAATCTCCACGTCCAAAAATGGAGGCCTGCCTTCCGAATCATGCAGTCCATCAAAATCATACTACGGAAATGTGTCAGCTAACAAGGAAAAAGACGGTAACAGTGTACAGTGGATTAAGCAAGTTAGAAAAGTGCACGGGACAGCCAGGCACGGGGCTCATGCCTGAAATCCCAGCACTTTGGGAGGCTGAGGCGGGAGGATCACCTGAGGTCCGGAGTTTGAGACCAAGCTGACCAACATGGTGAAACTCCATCTCTACTAAAAATACAAAATTCGCCGGGTGTGGTGGCGCATGCCCATAATCCCAGCTACTTGGGAGGCTGAGGCAGGAGAACCACTTGAACCCAGGAAGCAGAGGTTGCAGTGAGCCGAGATCACGCCACTGTACTCCAGCCTGGGCATCAAGAATGAAACTACGTTTAAAAAAAACAAATCAAGAAAATTATATGGTATGAGGGAACTGTTTTAAAAATTACAATTCACAGATTTGGAAGAACTTGCACTAAGTGCTTAACTTCGGCCATCTCTGGGTAGATGAAATTTTTGTTTTGTTCTAATTACTAATCTCTTTTTTATGACTCTTCTGTAATTACATGCATTGCCGGGCAATGAAAAAAGGAGGAATAGTAAAAGATAAAAGTAGTTAAGATAGCATCATATTTAATAAAGGAATCAAATGATGGCACTTCCTCCTACTAAATTATAATTTAAGCATGGGGTTGTAGCATACATAAATGTTTGATTCTTCTTATATATCTGCTTACAAGATGCAGCCCACTTTGTGGTCAAGACTTCTGGTCTGGTCTTGGGAGAGCAGGGTTACATCTTGGCTCTGCCACTAAGCTGAGTGATTTAGCCAGGCCTGTTCTAGATCTGTCTTCATCAGAGTAATGGGGATAGTAGTGATAATACTAACATTACGGCTTGGTTGAGGGTTACATAACACATAGAAATACAGACTAAACTTCTTGACATGATGTTCAATAAATGTTGACCATTATTACTAAATTAGATGTCCTAGGCTTTCTTCAAGGGGCCAGAGGACGCCTCCAGGCATTGATAGCTATGCTGTGCATCTTGTCTAGACTTTTTTTCAGAGAAGGGCGCAGGCAAGAGCAAAAGCAGCAGTCCCAGGCTATTCAACTTCCACAAAGCCTCCTTATCTCCGATTGGGAGGTACAGTTGCTGATTAACTCTGTTAATAGAGCACAGTGTTCAGAAGGCCAAAAGTCAAAGACTAAGGTCTAAAGTCCCGTAAAGAGGAAATATTCCCTCTTCACCATTACTGGGGGAAAAATACACTTGTAAGCCACAAAAAAGCCAGCACCTTTATTTGGACAACAATCATTTCAAAATCATCTTCTGAACTGAGAATCAATGGGTCTGGGTAGATACTCTAAGTAAACAGGTGAAATCTTCATTAACTGTTCACTTACTAAGTACAATTTTAAATAAACTGATTCTGTACAGCAGTGTTTTTCCACATTTCCCTGATAGGAATCACTTGGAGTGCTCTATAAACACTACTTCACCAGAGATTAATCCCATCAAATTGGTTCGGTGAATCTGGGATGGGCCAGTAATTTGGAAATTTTGATTTTTACAAATTCTTCCTGATTACCAAGTCTGAGAAAATGTGGGAAACACTGGAAAGTTACCTGCAAAATAACTTTCCGTTTTTCTCTGCAGTTTTTAAGTCTTGAACTACTGATCATCCTATAGATAACCCACTGAAAAGTCTTCTCCAATTTTTACAAAAGGAAACTGTTTTTAACATTTGGTTTCATAAAATCTGTTCCGAAGAAATACTTTGGCAGTGTTAATTGCTGGCCCATTCGTTCTACTTCATGTTTTCTTGAAGAGTCCATCTTCTAGGAATTGAGGCATAGCAATCTAATCATTTTTTAAATAATTGGTTTTTTATTAAAAGATTGTGACATTTAAAGCTCTTGCTTGCTTTTATCTGGCTCCTTTCCCTCGTGAAACTTAAGAAATACCTCCGTATTCTGACTTTTCCACCTTAAATCTCATATTGACCAGCCCGTGTATGCCAGCCTCGATCTCGTCGTTTTCTTTAACGGGTCCAACTCCCTTTGGCGTCCCAGTCAAGATAATATCTCCTTCTTCCAAGGTTATGATCTTAGAAACATAACTGATGATGTAGGGGATGGAAAAAATCATGGAGGATGTCTCACCCTCCTGTCTCAGCTCGCCGTTGACCTTGAGCCAGAGCTTCAGGTTGTGAGGGTCAGGGATTTTCTCCTTGGGCACGAACGCGCTGACCGGGCAGGACGCCGTGAAGCTCTTGGCCAGAGTCCAGGGCAGTCCCTTCTTCTTGCACTCGTCCTGCACGTCCCGGGCGGTCATATCCAGGCACAAGGCATAGCCGCCCACGTAGTCCATGGCCGCGGACTCGGGGGCTGCGCGGCAGCGCTTGCCCATCACCACGCCCAGCTCCAGCTCATGGTGCAGGTTGCGGCTGTACGCGGGCATGACAATGGGCGAGCCCTCGGGCACGTAGGCCGTGGACGGTTTCAAGAACAGCACGGGCTCGCTCAGCACCGTGCTGCGCATCTCCCTGACGTGGTCCGCGTAGTTCCTCCCCACGCAGACGATATTCTTCCCCCACTCCCAGAAGCGGGACAGGGGCCTGGAGGGCGCCATGACTCCAACCAAATGCCCCTGCAGTCACGTGAGCTGGACCAATCAGCTGATGCCTACGGCATCCCGGAGAGGACCAACTGCCTCGGAACGCTGTTCTCCCCTCCTCCCCCCCGCCCCCCAGCGACGGCCGTTGCACCTCCCGATCTGCAGGGTGCCCGGGTGGCGCGACGTTCGGCCTCCAGGGAGCTGCTGTGCGGTGCCGGGAAAGAGGCGGAGGCTCGCGGCACAGCTCTCCGGGTCCAACTCTCGGGCCGCCGCCACCGCCCCAGTCCCGTCCAGTGGCCCGCGGCATTCGGCGCTCGGGGAGAAAACGGGTTGAGCACGAGCGCGTTTATTGGCTGGCGGACGGTGAGAAGCGGACGCTAATTGGCTGAGGGCGGCGTGAGGCGGACGCTGATTGGCTGCGGCGCGCCGACGCCGGTGTTTTGCGGCCCCGGGCCGCCCGGCCGTCCAGCCCCTCTCCGGTCATGGTGCTGGGCCGCGGGCTGCTTGGCCGCCGGAGCCTCGCCGCGTTGGGAGCCGCCTGCACCCGCCTAGGCCTGGGTGAGTGCGGCGGGGCGGGGTGGGCGGTGGGGCGCGGGCCCTACGGGGCGGGGAGCGGACGGCGCGGGGCCGTCGGTTGGCGGTCGCTGACGCGGTTTCTGCTGCGCAGGTGCCTGAGGCCGCGCTGCCCGGCTAGAGCGGAGGCGGCGCAGGCGCCGAGGCGGGCGCGGAGCGGGCGCGGGGCCGCGGGTGCGGAAGGAGCTAGGTAAGCAGGGCCGGGCCTGCGCCCCCCGCGGCCTGCACACGCGGGCTGGGCCGGCCGCGCTTCTGACGCTGCCCGGTCGTCGCGTCCTGCCCGGGCGGGCGGCGTGGAGAGCCTGGGCGCGGCCCCCGGACGCCCGGCCCACCGGCACCTGCTGCAAGGACCGCGCTCTCGCGGCGCCGCCTGCGGTGGTCCAGCTGCTCGCCCGGCGCCGGAGCGTCCCTGTCTGGGGACCTGGCGTGTCATCCGTCCCGAGGGGACTGCGAGGCCGGGCCAGGCCAGTTCCCCTGGAGGGTGCGCAACGCAGGGCACCGGGCGGGCGGAGGCGCCGGCGCCGGCGGGGAGGCGTCCCTGGCAGTTTCCGCATCTCGCCGAAAGCTGTCAAGGCTCCGCAGCGGGTAGAATGTCGCCATTGCTAAGGAAAGAGCGAGGATTCGAGTTTCAGGGACATTCGTAAGGGCGCAGGCGGAGAGTTGGAGCGGGACCGTGGGCATCGGAAGGGCGTGCTTGCCGCATTCGAGGGGAGCTCCCTGCGCCAGTGTCTGGCACCGCCCAGTTCAGGGGAAGCTCGGTGCTGTGAAACACCGATTTAAAACAAGTGCAGTGACGCACGCCTGCCATTCCAGCGATTTGGGAGGCCGAGGCGGTAGAATCGCTTGAGTCCTGGAGTTCCAGACCAGCCTGGGCAACATGGGGAGATCTCATCTCTACAGAAAACTGACTTTAGCCGGGCGCGGCGACACGCGACTGTAGTCTCAGTCACTTTGGAGGCTGAGGCCGGAGGATCGCTTAAGTCTAGGAGGTGGAGGCTGCAGTGACCCATGATCGCACCATTGCACCGTAGCCTAGGAGACAGACTGAGACCGTCTCTCTCTTTTTTTTTTTTTTTTTTCTTTTTTTGTGGGCCAAACTAAACATATGTCTGAACTTGGTCCAGACCCCCCTAGGCTGCGGGTCCTTGACCTCTGTTTGTACAAAGTATTAAAGTTACAAAACAGTGATCCGGGAACATTTTCCAGGCAGTGTTGGGCTGAGTGATATGGAAAGGGAATAAGGTTTCTGCTGATACTGGCACCAGCTGCGTTCTTTTCTCAGAATAATGGCACTTCCATGGCTTGTCAGCTTCTTTAGGAGGCTCTGGTGGTCCCCAAGGGGAGGCTGAGCACCAGTTGTAAATGTTTTCTTCACCTGGGCAGGGCAGTCACCAGTCTCTGCTCACTACACCTCCACCTCCCTGGCTCAAGCGGTTCTCCAGCCTCAGCCTCCTGAGTAGCTGGGACTGCAGGCGCTCGCCAACACGCCTCTGCTAATTTATGTATTTTCAGTAGAGACAGGGTTTCACCATAGTAGCCAGGCTTGTGTCTATACCCTGACTTCAAATGGTCTGTCTGCATCGGTCTCCCAAAGTGCTAGGATTCCAGGTGTGAGTCACCCTGCCTGGGCAGTATTTGTAATGTTCTGCTAGTATCGATGGAGCTCCTTTCCAGGACGCCCCAGCACTCCGGGTGTCCTGTCACAACCCTTCTGCACCCTGCCAGCAGCCACCAGCACCCACACTCTGCTTGCTCTGCTCCTTGGGTTGGGATGGTGATGAGGCTAAGGGGAAGGGGAATATCACAGGAAGCTGCTCATACAGAAATGTAGGTATTATGTGCATGAGAAGGAGGACTTGGAAAACACCCAGCTGGTTGTCAGAAGGGTAACTGGGTACTTTGTGCAATGATTGAAACTAGAGTTTGGGCAGTCTCCCTGGCTGTGGATTCCGTGTTTAGATGGGCCCTGGAGACGTGTGTGTCTCTCGGTTGTTGGGTGCTGCCCATCCTGGATCCCTTTTGGGAGAAGTCCTTGCCCTGGCACCTGCCCCAGGATTCCACTGTCCTCTCTCACCTTTTGTGTCTTTTTCCCCCCATAAAGTAGAACTGAAGGTATTGTCAGGGCCCCCATGTGTTTTTAGGTTTAGTAGGAGTTTCATTGCTAAAATACTTCTGCATTGGTCTGCTGGCTGGCAGACACTTTTGTCCCTTGGTCACCCACTCCTCCCACCTCCTGGGCCTTTGTGACAGAGTCCTCTAGGGCAGCTGGATGGTGATTTTGTATCCTCCACACTGGAATCTGGGGCAGTCATGGCCAGCTTTCCGTCTCAAAGGATGTTGGAAACAGATGCTCAGTGCTGGAAAGAAAAATCAGCACTGAGACGAAGGATCTTTCAGCAATGCAAGTTTCACCTCCTGGACTGCAGGAAGGGGACCCTCACTGGCCGTCCTGCTGCAGGAGCACAATGAACAAAGGAAGACACACACATTTATCCCTCACGCATTTGGGGTCGTCTTTACTAATGTATCTGATCTCCATTGGCTGGAGTCAGACCTCACAATCTAAACTAAAACCCGATTGGCTAATAACTTAAAACTTTTCTTAAAACAGGTAACAGCAGTGGAGAGCTGGGACAGGCCTGTGAGCACGTCCAGCACAGATATCCTGTGGTTAAAGTATAAGGACATAGAATGTACTGCATGCCTGTAAGCGTGGCGTGTCTAACAGCTGCATAGGATAGGGCTTAGCAAAGCTGTCAGCACACTTACACTCTTTAATAAGAAAGGCAGCTTTACAAAGGAACTTTTCTACTGCCCACAAAACTGCTGATTTTTGTGCATTATCTGCATCTCACATTCCTGCTATTCAAGGGCAAGTATTTGTTTCTTTTTCTTTTTTTTCTTTTGAGAGAGTTTTCCTCTGTCACCCAGGCTGGAGTACAGTGGGGTAATCTTGGCTCACTGCAGCCTCCACCTCCCGGATTGAAGCGATTCTCCTGCCTCAGCCTCCTGTCTCGTATTGGTTCTCTCTGGCTGGAGGCTGAGAATGGCTGCACAGAACGGGGCCTGGCTTAGTCAGTGGTGGCAGCACAGCTAGCTGGAGGGCCAGTGGCCAGGCTGGGGCACCTCCAGTCTGCATTCCTTTCTTCACATTCTGCCCCTGAGTCCGGGCTATGCATACCCCAGAGCTGGCAGGAGGCATGCCAGACAGCAGTTTGTCTCACAGCCACAAGCTGGCCATCCTGTCCTTTCAGAGGTCTCAAAAAAGAAAATACAGATCATAAGTCTCAAACAGTCGATTTCCATGAATATGAGCATGAGTCAGTTTCTGTGTTTTCTCTGGGGACAAACAAAGATACTCCTTTTGGTTCTTTTGGTTTTTAAGGCACAGGATCTTATGCTGTCACCTAGGCTGGAGTGTACGGCACAGTCATAGCTCACTGAAGCCTCAAACTCCCAGGCTCAAGCGATCCTCTTGCCTCAGCCTCCGGAGTAGCAGGGACTACAGGCATGCGCCACCATGCCTGGCTAATTTTTACATTTGTAGAGACCAGGCTGGTCTCAAACTCCTGCCCTCAAGCTGTCCTTCCACCTCAGTCTCTTAAAGCGCTGGGATTCCCGGCAAGAACCACCGCATCTGGCCAGGGTATTTCCTTTCAGAGGAACCTAGAAAGGCTGGGAAGCACTGCAGCTTGTCCACACTGTTGTAGGGCCTGGTGCAGACACCAGTTTAGTTGTGCTGTGTCTGCAGGTCCAGCCCTGCTGGGAGTTTTCCACCACACAGACTTGCGGAAGAGTCTGACCGTGGACGAGGGCACCATGAAGGTGGAGGTGCTGCCTGCCCTGACTGACAACTACATGTACCTGGTCATTGACGACGAGACCAAGGAGGCTGCCATCGTGGACCCGGTGCAGCCCCAGAAGGTGTGCATGGCTGTGCCCGGCTCTCCCTTCCCTCACCCCCGATGAGCTTCCTAACCGCAGTGGCCTTGCAGCTCTCCCTCAGCGAAATGGAAATCAGTCACTTCATTTCTGAAAAACTATTCTCCAGGCACTGTTAACCAAGAAGGGTGGAGGCAAGAGCCAGGGGCACAGAGAACACTGAGCTGTTAGATCCCGGGCATGTGACGCTTCCTGGAGGCTTTCTGCCCGTCAGTGCTGCCTCTGGGGTGATGCCCCCAGAGCTGGAGGGGCTTGGAGCAGTAGCAGGTGGTTCTGAGAGTGCCAGGCTGAGCAGGAAGAAGCTACTTTTACCTGCTCTCCTGGAGCAGGGCGAGCCGGCAGGGTCAGGACGGGCCACAGCCGCGCCCCTCCCGTGCGTCCTGGGTTCCTCTGGGCACCCCACTGTGGAGGCTGGCGAGCCAGGCCTGCGAACCTGATGGGCCTTTGTCCTGCCCCGGTGTTGCTGCAGGTCGTGGAGGAGGCAAAAAAGCACGGGGTGAAGCTGACCACGGTGCTCACCACCCATCACCACTGGTAAGTGCCGGTGCCACAGGGCCTGAGTGTCTCACTTCTTGCCCTGGTGGGTTCAGGGACATCGAGGCCGGTCTTCCTCCACAGCTGGTGTCTGTTTTGTGAGGACAGACCCTCGACAGGCTTCTGAGAAAGACCACGGCCCCGAGTGGCAGGTCTGGTGCTGCAGTGACTCTGAGGCCCCGTGGCCTGTGGGGTGAGGGGAGAAGGCTGCAGCCTCACCCTCAGGCCTGAAGCCCCTGCTGTCTCTGGGGCCGCCCGGGCTCCTGCCCTGGAACGTTGGCCTCAGTGTCAGTGAGTGAATGAGTCTAGGGGTGAGTGGTTCATTTTTAAAGCAGCCGGCTAGGCACTGTGGCTACGTGGGATTATAATCCCAGCACTTTGGGAGGCTGAGGTGGGCAGATCACTTGAGGTCAGGTGTCACCAACATGGTAACACCCCGTCTCTACCAAAAATACAAAAATTGGCTGGGCATGGTGGCACACACCTATAATCTTAGCTACTCAGGAGGCTGAGGTAGGAGAATCACTTGAATCTTGGAGGTGGAGGTTGCAGTGAGCCGAGATCATGCCATTGCACTCCAGCCTGGGTGACAGAGCAAGACTCTTCCTGGAAGCTTTCTTCTTTTTTTTTTTTTTAATTATTATTTCTCAAAAAAAAAAAAAAAATAGCCGTATCTGGAGAGGTTGGGTTTTTAAAATCCTTAAAAACTGAAGGATGAATAAAGTGCCATGTTGGGTTCCAGGGCCAGCATTGGCGGCTTAAGGCCCTTGTTCGGCTTTTGAAAATTTTTGAGGCTCTTCAAAGCTAGGAAAGTGTTTATTTGGTTCTCACTTCTGTATGCCAAGCAAGCGCCCAAGAGCAGCCAGCACCTTTCTCCTGAGCCAAGACCTGTCTGGCACTGCCCTAGGGCCTCCAAGCTGTGGCTTCCCCAGCCCCCGTCTCTGGGTGAAATGAGGCCTTTTATCCTGTCCTCGGTGGTGGGAGTGCTGTGCTGGCGGCTTGGCCAGAGTTTGATGGAAGCGTCACGGTTTACACACAGCTGCACTGAGGCCTGGAGAGTTTCAGGCTCTGTGAGTCGGGCCCCAAGAGCCTCTGCCAGATCATTGGAGGTGCCCATGCAGGGACTTGGGCACAAGGGGCGATGCCTACAGCCTCCCTGGCCCTTGGCCTGTGTGGCTGAGCTGCTGTCTCTCAGCACATCTGCCTTCCTCTCGTGTGAGGCCCCTGCTGCCAGCATGCTTCCTCCTGGGGACCCTGGTGGTGGCCTCTGCGTAGCTCCCTGGCACATCACAAGTTGCTGCAGCTCGCTGCCTCTCCTGGCCTCGCTGCAGACGTCTCTTTCTAACACTGTAGTGCTTTTGAGTTCACCTGGCCCCTGTGACATTCATGCCGGAGCATGAAGTCCTAAGCCAGGCTCTAGCTGCAGCGGGATGGGGTTGCTTATCTGTGGTGAGTGGTGATGGGTGGACCGGGGCCTTTGTGCCACGCCCTCCTTAAGGACAGGAGGGGCAGAGGGCTGTGGCCACCACTCCACCCTGTTATCTTGTGGCCCAGCGGTGCCAAAGCAGGAGGTTTCTGGTGTGGTCACTGGAGTTTCCTTGGGAGGCACACGAAGGAGGCTGTAGGGGACATGGAGCGAGGCCAAGCCAGATGCTCCCTGCCGCTGGGAGAGCTTTGGCCTCACCTTTGCGATGAAGCCCGGTCGGCAGGTGTGGGACCCTCACAGCCCCCACCCCACATCAGGGCTTTGCAGCCTACTGAGGGATTCTAGCCCAGGTGAGGCCCGGGAAGGGCCCCTTTGATTGCCCCTTTCTGAAATGCAGGTCAGGCAGGCTCCCCTGGGGAAACCTGGGCTCAAAGGAGGCTCCTCCACCCGGTGAGCGTCAGGAGGCCTGGAGCTGGCCCAGTCTGGCCTCCCCTGCAGGCAGACCACCTTTAGGGCCAGCCACTCGTCCCAGACACACCCCACATGATTCCTACGCTCAACAGATTGATTTTCTGCTAGTGGGGTGGCTCCCAAACTGGGCTGCACATGAGAATCACCTGGGGGCTTTCAAAAATCCCACCCCAGGCCACTCCTCAGACCTGTTGCAACCCTCAGGACTCAGGGATGGGAGCCAGGTGGTGCTTCATAAAGACGTCCAGGTGATAACCCCACACCCCCACGCTCGGAACCCTGGCCACGGGATCGTCCAGGTGTCTGTGATTTGCTTCCTCGGGCAGGGCCGCAGGGAGCCTCGCTTGGGAGCGGGTATATGGTCAGCAGATCCAGCGATGGACAAGAAGCAAATTCTCTGCGTTGCAAGATGTACGTTTCTTTGAGAAACGTCCAATGCAAAATAGGAATCCTGTTTGACCAGAGTTTAAGAGCAGCAGGCAACCCTCGGCTCAGCAGGCAGCCCAGGTCTCCTGTTTGACTTCCAGGGACCACGCTGGCGGGAATGAGAAATTGGTGAAGCTGGAACCGGGGCTGAAGGTGTACGGCGGTGACGACCGTATCGGGGCCCTCACTCACAAGGTCACTCACCTGTCGACACTGCAGGTGAGCAGTGAGCCCTGGTGGTGGCGGTGCTCCAGCGCGGCCCTGCCAGGAGCGGGGAACCCCCCCACGTCCTCTCTGCTCCCTTACCCCAGTGACCCAGGAGGGCTCTCTGCGGTCCTTTGTGGCAGTGTGGACAGTGTCCTTTGTCTTGGCCCAAGAAGAGGAGTGTGCAGAACATGGTGGTGTCGGGGGCTGGGAAGCGGGGCTCCGTGACCCTGGGGAGTGGGCCATGTGGGTGGGGTCTCGGTGCTGGCCTCGGGCTCAGTGCCAGTGTGTCGTTCCCCTAGGAGCCTCCTTGAGCACAGCCCACAGGCAGGGGCGGGGGACAGATGGGGACAGAGGGAAACAAAAGGCCAAGCGTGGAAAGGAGAGCCGTCTTTAGTCAGATGCTGGCTGTGGATTCGGCCCAGTTCTGAAGGAGAAACCAAAACAAGCCGTTGGCTTTTTCACGAAGTGCTCAGGTTCTGGGGCCCCCGCGCTTGGGCGCAGCCGTGGAGTGAGGGAGTGAGTGAGTTCCACAGCCCCGTGGCTGGGAGCGCCTGCCCCACCTTAGTGGGCATATCCCCGGGAGCTGAGGAGGGCCCGGGCCGCACGGTGACCCGGGAGGCACTCTCCGGGTGTCTGGGAGCACACGCCGTCACCTGCTTTGTTTAAGGTGGGCTCTCTCAACGTCAAATGCCTGTCGACACCGTGCCATACTTCAGGACACATCTGTTACTTTGTGACCAAGCCCGGTGGCTCGCAGCCCCCAGCCGTGTTCACAGGTGCGTGTTGAGTTGGGGTGGGGATGGGTTCTTCATGAAGACCCTTGGTCTCCTGCCAGGCACGCTCTCGGGGGCAGCTTCGTGGCCTTCTCTATTGCCCTGATGTGTGGGGCCCACGGGGCAGGGGCTGGGGTGTGGAGCCTGGGGCTCAGTCTCGGACACATCCAGGAGTTGGGAGCCTCGTGGCGGGGCTGGCCCGTTTCCTCCCACAGTGGGTTTGGATGGTGGTCTGGAAGGCAGTTCCACCTGCAGCAAGGGCTGTGCCGGCGGAGACTGCTAGAGGCAGCTGGGGTTCTGGTGCGTTTCACGGAACAGAGTCAGTTTCTGCCTGCAGGGCGAGGGGGGCTTGGCCCTGGAGCCTCTGTGTTCCTCGGTACTATGGTGTGGATTAGGGGACCTGTGCCAGTCCAGGGGCACTGCCTGCCTCCCGGAGTTGTCACAGACCCGTGGGAGCCGCCTCTGGAGGTCATATGGCCAGGGGACAGCCCCATTGTAGGCTAGCCCCTCCACGGCTGTGGCCTGTATGGGAAGGCCATGTGGAGGCTGCTGGAGGTGGGGGCTGCCTCCCCTGCCTATCCCCCAACTGGCCTCACAGTGTGGGGTTTCACTTGGTAACTGTGGCGAGGGGAGGTAGCACAGCTCCATGGAGCAGGAGCTCCAGGCCCCAAGGTCGCCTCCTGCCTTCTCTGCCCTTCCTTACCTCTGGAGTCTCTGTGGCCTCTTGCCTGTCCTCAGACATGAGGTCTGGGGCCCTTCGGGGGAACAGGTCCTGTCCTACCATCCTGTCCCATCTCTTGTGCCCAGGAGGGCCCAGGGGGACTCATGGTCTTGGCCTGTGCCCAGCACCACTGCATGTTTCTCTGCCCTGCGTGGTGAGGAGAAGTGGGGCGGCCTCTGCTGTGCTGGGTGCTGAGCACACTCCTCTAGGGGGGACAGCCCTGCTTCTGAGGCCAATGGCCACGTGGGGTCAGCAAGCTGAAGATGGCCGTGAAGCAGCCCGAGGAGGGCAGAGACTAGGGTGGGGACATGGTTCTGAGGCTGAGGCAGGAAGGAACCTGGGTGCTTGAGGGTGGGCAGCATTGTGGGCTGCGTCCCCTGCAGTGGATGAGAGGTGGTCTCAGTCAGCTCAGGCAGGGCGGTGAGACCTATGCACAGGGTGGCACTGGCTGCTGGGGTCAGGAGAAGATGGGGGCCAGGCAGGAGCCTGAGAGGGGCTGTTGGGTGTGTCGGGGAGGGCTGGTGGGACTGGGGCAGTGTGGGGAGAGTGACTTGGGTTTTGGGTCTGTATGGACAGTTGGGCGGTCATCAGGTGGTCAGCACTGTCAGCTGAGGCTTGGAAGGAGGTGTGGGAGCTGGCATGCGGGCTCTGAGTGGAGCGAGCCTGTGGGAGTCAGGGCAGCTGGGGCTCGGGGCCTGGGCCTTGCCGGTGAGTGTCACCCTGCTCCTGGCCCCTCCTGAGTCCTAGCCACTGGCCTCGAGTGGCCCCCACCTTGTGGCTGTTCTTGTTTCCAGGTGACACCTTGTTTGTGGCTGGCTGTGGGAAGTTCTATGAAGGGACTGCAGATGAGATGTGCAAAGCTCTGCTGGAGGTTCTGGGCCGGCTCCCCCCGGACACAGTAGGTGGTGCCTCCCTGCGGGTTGGAGTGTGGGGGCCTCACCCAGCCTGCCTGGCAGGAGACAAAGGGTGCCTCCTGGCGCCCACTCACCAGACGCACCCCCAGGCGTCCTTGTGCCATCCCTGAGGACTTCCACAGGTGGCAACAGCCCTCGGAGCTCCCCTGTTGCCTCTCTCCACAGAGAGTCTACTGTGGCCATGAGTATACCATCAACAACCTCAAGTTCGCACGCCACGTGGAGCCTGGCAACGCCGCCGTCCAGGAGAAGCTGGCCTGGGCCAAGGTGAGTGGGGCCTTCCTGGTGCAGTGCCTTCCCGTGGGCTGCGCAGGGCCACTGTGCACAGTGGGGTTGCCAGAGTAGGTAGACCCTCGCACCTCTGAGGCCACAGAGTAGGCCTGGGATTCAGGCCACCGTGGCCAGGCTTGCCCTTTACGGCAAACCCAGGGGTTCTGTTGAGATCCCTCTGCCCCGGAGGATCCTGAGTGGGCTTCAGACGCTGCATGTCTAACAAGTGCCAGTCCTGTTTGCCACCTTGAGCAGTAGGGTCAGGCTGGCACCACGTGGCTCTGCTGGCTCCCCACGCCACAGAAGGTGGCTCTGTCCAAAGGACTCCTGTTTCCACGAAGGCTCCACGTGAGCCTCCATGGCATAGCCCAGGCCAGCCCAGCCAAAGAGTGCCAGGAGCAGGAGAGGGTTCCCCAGGGGCGTGTTCCCAGACTCCCTGGAAACGGCGTCAGGACTGCGTGTGCCTGGGTGCTCTCAAACGTGGCCTCCCTCTGCTGAGTGGCGTGAGAGTCGCTGCCTCGGACGCGTTTGTTGTTTTAAGTAAATCATCTATTTCTGTTGAGCATTTTGTCAATTTCTTGGAGAAGATTACGTTATTTTACAATATTTACTCATAAAAATCTAAACTCTAAATCAGATGAATCATAAATATTCATCTTTTTCCTCCTTTTGAGATGGAGGCTTGCTCTGTCACCCAGGCTGGAGTGCAGTGGCATAATCTCAGCTCACTGCAACCTCTGTCTCCCAGGTTCAAGAAATTCTCCCTGCCTCAGCCTCCCGAGTAGCTGGGATTATAGGCACCCGCAGAGACAGGGTTTCACCATGTTGGCCAGGCTGGTCTTGAACTCCAGACTTCAGGTGATCGCCTGCACTGGCGTCTCCAAGTGCTGGATTATAGGCGTGAGCCACCATGCCCGGCCAGTGAGTCTGTTTTGAGTGGACAGGTTGCAGATTGAGGAATGTCGGTGATGCTTGCCCTGTGTGATCACCTCCACAGTCAAGATGGAGAACTTTCTACTGCCCCAAAGGCTCCCACGCCCCTCCCATATGGCATTCCTGCCAGATGTTGCTCTGCTCTGACTTCAGGTCACTTTTTTTTCCTGAGAAAGAGTCTTGCTGTGTCTCCCAGCTAGAGTGCAGTGGTGTGATCTCGGCTCACTGCAACCTCTGCCTTCTGGGTTCAAGTGATTCTCCTGCCTCAGCCTCTTGAATAGCTGGGACTACAGGTGTGCACCACCACGCCTGGCTAATTTTTGTATTTTTAGTAGAGATGGGGTTTCACGATGTTGGCCAGGCTGCTCTCAAACTCCTGACCTTGTGATCTGCCCACCTTGGCCTCACGAAGTGCTGGGATTGCAGGCGTGACCTGCCGCACCCGGCCTTTGAGCTCACCTTGTAGACTTCCCTGTCAACAGAAGCCTGCGGCTCCGTCATGTCTGTGGCATTCTTGGCCCTGCTGATGTTGGTGAGATTCAGCCATGCTCCTTGCTTCTGAGTAGCATTTCATGTGGAAATGCGGTGATTTGTTTATCCATTTGTCTGTCTCCAGTTTTTGCTATTTGAATAAAGCTGCTGTGAACGTTTGTGTACAAGTCTTTTTGTGGACATGTTTTTATTCTCTTGGGTACCTACCTAAGAGTGGAGTTGCTGTGTCGTGTGGTTAAATGTATGAACTGTTATCCAAAATGCTTGTCCTGTTCGGCGATCCCACCACCAGTTCATGAGCTCTGGGGACTCCACACTGCGCCAGCCAGCGCTGGGGCTGTTGGTCTCTTTACCTTCTGCCATTCTAACGTGTGGGTGGTGGCGTCTCCCTGCTTTTCACGTGTGTGCCCGTGACCACCCTCTCTGTGTGCTGGCCTCTGCTGTGAAGTTCACGTTCAGTTTTTGTCCACCGAGAAGACTGGGTTTGGCCTGTTAGCGCGTGCTCCTGAGTTTCTTACATCATCTGGAAACAAGGCTTGGTGAGATTTATGTAAAAATGTCTCTCCCAGTTCATGACTTGCCTTTTCATTTTCTTAATGCTGTCTTTGGAAAATAGTTTATAGTTCTGGTGAAATTCAGTTTACTCATTTTTTCTTTTGCTTTATTTTTTGAGACAGAATCTCATCTGTCGCCAGGGTGGAGTGCAATGGCATGATCTTGGCTTACGTCAGTCTCCGCCTCCCAGGTTCAAGCGATTTTTCTGCCTCAGCCTCCCCAGTAGCTGGGATTACAGGTGCCCGCCACCACGCCCAGCTAATGCTTTTTTGTATTTTTAGTAGAGATGGGGTTTCACCGTGTTGGCCTCAATCTGTGGACCGCGTGATCTGCCTGCCTCAGCCTCCCAAAGTGCTGGGATCACAGGTGTGAGCCACCTCACCCGGCCCTGCTCGTTTTTTTTGTGCTGTAAGAAATCATTGCATAACCCTAGCTCACAAAGACTTTCTCCTGTGTTTCTTCCTAGAAGTTTCAAGGTCTTCGCTTTTATATTCACATAAAATTTAAAGTGTCCCCTTTGAAGACGGCGTCTGCGTGAGGTGCGAGGCGAGGGTAGAGGGTCACCTTCCCGAAGGGAGATCCCACTTGTTCAGCGCTGTCTGTTGGACGGTCCTTTGCTGCCTGGATTGCCTTGGCAGCTCTCTGCAGAGCATGGACCGTCCACGCCCGAGTCTCCCGGACTCTGCTCCGTTGTGCTGCTCCGTGTGACATGCCTGGTGTCCCAGCACATCATCTTGAGTGCTGTAGCTCTGTGCCGAGTCCTGACCTCAGCAGTGTAAATCCTCCAGTGGTGTTCAAATGGTTTTCGTTGTTTCAAGCCTTTCACGTTTCCATTTTTAGAATCATCTTGGAGTTTTTACTAAAAAAGCTGGCTTGGCGTCTCATTGGGGCTCTTGTGATAACTGCTGTGGCGGGAACTGAGATGTTCACACTGGGTGTTTCCGTGAGCTTTCCCGGCGTTTCTTGGCAGTGTTTGGAAATGTTCGAGGTCCGGCACGTGATTAAGTGCATCGCTCCGCGCTTGGTGACTGTCTGTTGATGCTGGTTGGAAATGCAGTGGACATGCGTTTTCACTCCCTGGCTGTCTCAGTCCTGTGGTGGTGCTGGAAAGGAATACTTGAGGCTGGTCATTTATAAAAGGCGGGTTATGTGGCTCGTGGCCCTGCAGGCTGGATAAGCAGCATGGCCTGGGCATCCACACATGGTGAGGCCTCAAGCTGCTTCCACTCATGGCTAAAGGGGAAAGGAGCTGGTGGGTGTGAAGCGCTGGCCAGAACAGGTGAGAGTGGGAGGGCGGAGGCACTAGGTTCTTTTAAACAGCAGATCCTGTGGGAACTAACAACTCGCTCACACTTGGCCGAGGGCACCAAGCCCTTCACAAGGGATTCTCCCGGTGATCCAGGCACCTCCATTCAGCCCCACCCACGCGACGGGGGTCAGATCTCAGCATGCATTTGGAGGGACGGACCTCCTAGGCACAGCACTGCGCAGACACCCAGGAGAGGAGTGGCTGGGCTGGACTTGTGAAGAAATCCCAAACTCTCCTTGCTCAGCGCTTGTTTGCTGGCAGGTGTTTGCATCCTGCCGGGAAGGCGTGGGAGACCAACTGTTCCGCATACTCCTGCCACCTCGTGGAAGGAGCTGGGGAGCCCAGTCTGGCCTCTCGTCTTCTCAGCAGTATCTTTTGAGCAAACATTTGTCATTTCGAGGAAGTCCAGTAGATTATTTTATGGTTCATTCTTTTTTGTCTTCCATCCCAAGGTCGAAAAAAGTTAACTCCAGGGCCGGGCGCGGTGGCTCACGCCTGTAATCCCAGCACTTTGGGAGGCCGAGGCGGGTGGATCACGAGGTCAAGAGATTGAGACCGTCCTGGTCAACATGGTGAAACCCCGTCTCTACTAAAAATACAAAAAATTAGCTGGGCATGTTGGCGCGTGCCTGTAATCCCAGCTACTCAGGAGGCTGAGGCAGGAGAATTGCCTGAACCCAGGAGGCGGAGGTTGTGGTGAGCCAAGGTCGTGCCGTTGCACTCCAGCCTGGGTAACAAGAGCGAAACTCCGCCTCACAAAGAAAAGTTACTCCAGTACTTTGTGTTTGGAATTTGTACAGTTAAATTGAGACCTGGGTGAAGCCCCCGCCCGTGTCTGGCGGGTCTGATCTTCCTGGTTTCATTCCTGATATTGACAGTTTGTGTTCTTTTTATTGGTCGTGTCAGTTTTGTTGACTGTTTTTTTTTTTGAGATGGCGTCTCACTCTTGTTGCCCAGGCTGGAGTGCAGTGGCATAATCTCAGCTCACCGCAGCCTCCACCTCCTGGGTTCAAGTGATTGTCCTGCCTCAGCTTCCTAAGTAGCTGGGAATACAGGCACAAGCCACCGCACCTGGCCTAAATTTTTTTTGTTATACAAAGTCTGGCTCTGTCACCCAGGCTGGAATACATAGGTAATTTTCGTATTTTTAGTAGAGACAGGGTTTTACCATGTTGTTCAGGCTGGTCTTGAACTCCTGACCTCAGGTGTTAGCTCCACCTGCCTCAGATTCTCAGCGTGCTGGGATTATAGGCATTGAGCCACTGTGCCTGGCCTTTTTTTTTTTTTTTTTTTTTTTTTTTTTTTTGATAGTTTCACTCCTGTTGCCCAGGCTCCAGTGCAGTTGTGCAAACTTGGCTCACTGCAATCTCTGCCTCCCAGGTTCAAGTGGGAGGTGGTCCTCGGGTGGGTCCTGCCTCAGCCTCCCCAGTAGCTCGGATTACAGGCATGTGCCACCACACCCAGCTAATTTTATATTTTAGTAGAGATGGGGTTTCTCCATTTTGGTCAGGCTAGTCTTGAACTCCTGGCCTCTTTTTTTGGGGGAAGGGTTGGGGAGGCAGAATCTCACTCTGCCGTCCAGGCTGGAGTGTGGAGTGGCACAATCTCGGCTCACTGCAACTCCGCCTTCCCAGGTCCAGGTAATTCTCCTGCCTTAGCGTCTCATAGCTGGGACTACAGGCCTGTGTCACTGTGCCTGGGTAATTTTTGTGTTTTTGGTAGAGACCGGGTTTCACCATGTCGCCTAATCTGTTCTCGAACTCTTCTGATCCTCCCGCCTCGGCCTCCCAAAGTACTGGGATTACAGGTGTGAGCCACCATGCCCGGCTTGTCATTCTTTTTAATAGGCGTAAAATACACTATTGTGTGGGTGTTATCCATAATCATTTTACCAATCTCGGTAGGAAGGACATTGGGAGTTTTCAACTCCTTTTTGACCCTGGAGTTCAGAACCCACAGGAGGTGTTGCTCTTCTGAGCTGAGCTGCAAGGACTGACTTTTTTTTTTTTTTTTTTTGGACAGTGTCTTGCTCTGTCACCAAGCTGGAGTGCAGTGGTGCGATGTCGGCTCACTGCCTGGGTTCAAGCAGTGCCCCTGCCTCAGCCTCCCGAGTGGCTGGGACTACAGGCGCCTGCCACCCTGCCTGGCTAATTTTTTGTATTTTACTAGAGATGGGGTTTCACCATGGTGGCCAGGCTGGTCTCCACCTCCTGACCTTGTGATCACCTGCCTCAGCCTCCCAAAGTGTTGGGATTACAGGCATGAGCCACTGTGCCTATTTTTTTTTTTTTTTTTCTGAGATGGAGCCTTGTGAAATCGCCATGGTAAAGTGATGTGTTTCTCTTGCAGGAGAAGTACAGCATCGGGGAACCACGGTGCCATCCACCCTGGCAGAGGAGTTCACCTACAACCCCTTCATGAGAGTGAGGTGAGGGCAGGGGGTGGGAGGAGGCGTCTCGCATCTGGCAGTCCAGCTCCTGAGCGCACAGCCCAGGCACGTCTGAGAGCCCAGATGGCCGAGGCTGCCCTGGGGAGCAGTAGCAGACACAGCCACAGAGTCCGAGCACTTTTCTTCTGGGGGCATCTTGGCCAGGGTCTGGGTTCTTTTGGACCCTGGACTTCAGAACCCGTCGAAGGGGGAGTGGCTGCTGCCTCTCCGTCCTCCGTGTCCTCCCAGGGCTGGGCTCACTTAGCACGTGCTGTGTGCACCGTCCCCCCATTGGGGGGTGTCCTCTGCAGCGGCCCTGGCTCCTTGGGAGGGCAGTGGGCTCATTGTTCCCCCAGCCTGCAGTGTGCTGCTGGCCTCCGCAGGGAGAAGACAGTGCAGCAGCACGCGGGCGAGACCGACCCCGTGCCCACCATGCGGGCCGTGCGCAGGGAGAAGGACCAGTTCAAGGTGCCCCGGGACTGAGGCACCCTGCGCCTTCCGAGCATTGGGGGACTAGGCTCTCTTAGGTAACTGGCTTTCCTGCTGCTGATGCAGGAAATTGGTCTTGATTTAACCCTATTTCACAGCTCTTGGCTTGTGTTATCGAATGTTCTAATGCATATTTATAAGAACTTAAAAAGTATTTATTCCCATAACTTTCACTTGCAGACTGTTGTCCTCTGGCCTTTAGGCCTCTCCGGGGGCCTTCCTCCTCCCCTCCATGAGCCACTTCAGTCCTCCACCCATGCTTCAGGTTAGGACCCCGGGAGGGTGCTGTCTCCCTGGGTTTCCTGGCTTTGCAGGAGGGTACACCAGGGTGCCCTGGGGTTCCTTTCCCAATGTCCCCTGCCCCACCCACCCAAGGAATCAACACCTTTCTGGATGCCAGGTCACTATCACAATCTGTGTTGACATGGGATGAGGGGATTCTGCAGGCCCTGTGGAGCACAGAACCCCACCCCGCCAGTGCCATGGGCGCTCCAGCACTGCTGCCATCCTGGGTTGGGGAATGCCGAGTGGTGTTTGTGCCCAAAGCAGACAGTCCCCTGCCCACGCCTGGGGGCTCTGGCTCAGAGCTGGTGTGGCTGCACCTGTGCCGTCTCCTGTCCTGAGTTTCAGCGTGGGGTGGCCGGGGCTGCAGGAGCAGCCCGTCCTGGAATCCCGAGAGTTGGGACAGCATACTGCCTCGTGTCATCCCAAGACTCCTGTCTATAGCCTGAGCCGGTGTCCTAGCTATGGCCCTGGCTGGGCCCTGATGGACACCTTTGCAGCCTGCGCTAGTGGTCTGAGCTCGAGCTCAGGGAGAGGTGGCTGCATCTTCCTGCTGGAGGCAGCCAGGTCCCGAGCCCTCCAGCAGGGCTCCTGCTTCTGCGTGAGAAAGCACGCACTGCTTTCTGTGGAAGCAGCCACCTAGGAGGTGCTCTTGGCCTGTGACCCTAGGAGAGCTGGATGGGTGGCCACATGTCATGCCCAGATGTGAGGCTCTGGCTCTGCCTGGGGGGCAGAGGGTATACGTGGGAAGGACAGGAAGAGGCAGCCCCTTCAGCTGCCACAATGGGCGGGTGGGGCAGGGGTGCAGGATGGAGGGACTCCAACTTCGTGAGAGGCGCACTGGGCCCCACCGGCTGTTCTGGATCAGGAGACAAGTGATCTGTGACAAGTGTGCTGCTACTGATGTCACCTGCTGCTCATCTTGGGCAGCTTGGGACCACGAGGTGCCTTGGCTGTGGCCGTTTGTCCCCATCCCTGGCTGTGGCTGGGGCTTGGTTAATCCAGCTGCCACGTGGGCCCCACCATGCTGGAGTCAGAATTCTGGACATTTTGCCATCGCACAGGAATTGCACGCGTCCATTCTTTATAAAGATGGTGTTCCAGATGGCACCAGAGGCCCCTGTGCGCTGCAGGGACCCCCTCAGAGCAGAGGGCAAAGAAGCTGCGTCTTCTCACCCCACTGCACTCCCAGGCAGCCATGTGGCCCCCATCCTGCTGCTCACCTTCCTCCTAGAGGCCCCTGTGACCAAAGAGAAAGTAAGTGTGGGGCCCAGCATGGTGGCTCACGCCTGTAATCCCAACACTTTCGGAAGCCAAGGTGGACAGATCACCTGGGGTCAGGAGTCCAGACCAGCCTGACCAACATCGTAAATACCCTGTCTCTACTAAAAATAGAAAGTTAGCTGGGCCGGGTGGCGCATGCCTGTAGTCCCAGCTACTCAGAAGGCTGAGGCAGGAGAATTGCTTGAACCAGGGAGGCAGAGGTTGCAGTGAGCCAGGATCACGCCACTGCTCTCCAGCCTGGGTGACAGAAAGAGACTGTCAAAAAAGTGTGGAACGGAAAGAAAAACAGCACCCCCCGTTCCACCCCGCCTGGCACAACTAGGCAGCCCCGGAGACCCTCGAGTTTCCCGTCTCCCTGTCACCATGCAGCCCTGCTGTGAGCGCCCTTCTAGGACTGTTTGTGGGTCTGGCCTGGGGCAGCTGCGGTGCATGGTGGAGCCAGGCAGTCCTGGTGGTTGCAGACGCCTTCCGAGCTTTGCTCCTGCAGGTGGGGATGTTTTGGGGACAGTTTTCTTGAGGGTTAATGACCAGAAGTGAGCGTCTGGGCCACAGAGGTGCGGCTTAAACCCTGGAGAACACCTGGGCTGTTGTGTGGGATCCACGGAGCCAGTTCTGTTCTTCAGTGTGATGAACGCGGTATGTCGCTCCACACCCTTGTCTGCTCCTGGCGTGGGATGTGTTAGCTTTTCTCGACCTGGGGGATGTAAAATGGCCTCTTGCAGAGGCCTTGGTGACGCATGTGTCCTCGGGTACAGGGGTGGGTAGATGCCTTCCCCATGCTTGCCAGCCACAGCGTATCCTGCTGTGTGACCTCTGTGAAGACTTTTCCCAGCTTTCTCTGGTGTGTGTTACTGCGGAGTAAGCTTCCTTACACGTGATGGTCCGTGTCCTGGGTTCGCCGGGCACGCCGGTTCACAGTTCTGATTTGTTGCTGGCAACTCACTGTCTTGTTGAGTAGAGCAGTGGTTCCCAACCTTTTTGTCAACAGAGACTGGTTTCCTGGAGACAGCTTTTCCACATCTGTGGTGGGAGGGGCATGGTGTAGGGATGAAAGTTTCCACCTCTGCTCATCAGGCATTAGATTCTTAGAAGGAACGTGCAGTTAGCTTCCTGGTGTGCACAGTTCAGAACAGCTTGTGCTGTGAGAATCGAATGCTGCAGACCTGACAGGAGGCAGACCCCAGGCGGAATGCTGGTGGCCTGCTGCTCGGAGGATGTGGGACCCTTGGAGTAGAACTTTTTTTTATTATTATTATTTTTTGAGACGGAGTTTCGCTCTTGTTACCCAGCTGGAGTGCAATGGCGTGATCTCGGCTCACCGCAACCTCCGCCTCCTGGGTTCAGGCAATTCTCCTGCCTCAGCCTCCCGAGTAGCTGGGACTATAGGCACGCGCCACCATGCCCAGCTAATTTTTGTATTTTTAGTAGAGACGGGGTTTCACTATTTTGAGCAGGATGGTCTCGATCTCTTGACCTTGTGATCCACCCGCCTCAGCCTCCCAAAGTGCTGGGATGACAGGCTTGACCCACTGCGCCCGGCCTGAACTTATTATTTTTTGAGGCAGAGCTTGGCTTCGTTGCCCAGGCTGGGTATCGTGGTGTGATCAGAGCTCACTGCTGCTTCCCCATCCCAGGCTCAAGAGATCATCCACGTTAGCCTCCTGGGTAGCTGGGGTTACAGGTGTGAGCCACCATGCCCAGCTAATTTTTGTATTTTAGGAGAGAAGGCCACCATGTTGGCCAAACTCCTTGAACTCCTGACTTTACCGTGACCCATCGGCCTTGGCCTCCCAAAGTGCTGGGATGACAGGTGTGAGCCACTGCACCTGGCCAGAAATTCTTTTTGAGATGGAATCTTGGCTTACTATAATCTCCGCCTCCTGGGTTCAACCATTTCTCCTGCCTCAGCCTCCCAAATAGCTGGGACTGCAGGCGTGTGCACCACCACACCCAGCTAATTTTTTGTCTTAGTAGAGACGGGGTTTCACCATGTTGGCCAGGATGGCCTCGGTCTCCTGACCTTGTGATCCGCCCGCCTCGGCTCCCAAAGTGCTGGGATGACAGGCGTGAGCCACCGTGCCTGGCTGGGGATTCTCAGTATAGTTAGATGCATCCTTTCCTGCACGGTAAATGCTTATGTATCCTGTGTGATGCTCCCACCCTGCCACACTGCGCTGATGAAAATCCATGGGCTAGGTTTTGCTTTTCACACTTATGATCCACGTGTAGCTTCTTTTTGAGACCTGGCACTTGTGTCCTTTCCTGCCATCTGGATGGACACTCGGGCATCCCTGTCCCTCAGTTACACAGCCAGCGTCTGTGCCTGCACCCCGTGGCAGGCGTCCCTGTCCCTCAGTTACACAGCCAGCGTCTGTGCCTGTACCTGTGGCAGGCGTCCCTGTCCCTCAGTTACACAGCCAGAGTCTGTGCCTTTACCTGTGGCAGGCGTCCCTGTCCCTCAGTTACACAGCCAGAGTCTGTGCCTTTACCTGTGGCAGGCGTCCCTGTCCCTCAGTTACACAGCCAGCGTCTGTGCCTTTACCTGTGGCAGGCGTCCCTGTCCCTCAGTTACACAGCCAGCGTCTGTGCCTGCACCCGTGGCAGGCGTCCCTGTCCCTCAGTTACACAGCCAGCGTCTGTGCCTTTACCTGTGGCAGGCGTCCCTGTCCCTCAGTTACACAGCCAGCGGTCTGTGCCTTTACCTGTGGCAGGCGTCCCTGTCCCTCAGTTACACAGCCAGAGTCTGTGCCTTTACCTGTGGCAGGCGTCCCTTTCCCTCAGTTACACAGCCAGCGTCTGTGCCTTACCTGTGGCAGGCGTCCCTGTCCCTCAGTTACACAGCCAGCGTCTGTGCCTGCACCCCGTGTCAGGCGTCCCTGTCCCTCAGTTACACAGCCAGCGTCTGTGCCTGCACCCCGTGGCAGGCGTCCATGTCCCTCAGTTACACAGCCAGAGTCTGTGCCTTTACCTGTGGCAGGCGTCCCTGTCCCTCAGTTACACAGCCAGCGTCTGTGCCTGCACCCCGTGTCAGGCGTCCCTGTCCCTCAGTTACACAGCCAGCGTCTGTGCCTGCACCCCGTGGCAGGCGTCCATGTCCCTCAGTTACACAGCCAGAGTCTGTGCCTTTACCTGTGGCAGGCGTCCCTGTCCCTCAGTTACACAGCCAGCGTCTGTGCCTTGCACCCCTGTGGCAGGCGTCCCTGTCCCTCAGTTACACAGCCAGAGTCTGTGCCTTACCTGTGGCAGGCGTCCCTGTCCCTCAGTTACACAGCCAGAGTCTGTGCCTTTACCTGTGGCAGGCGTCCCTGTCCCTCAGTTACACAGCCAGCGTCTGTGCCTTTACCTGTGGCAGGCGTCCCTGTCCCTCAGTTACACAGCCAGCGTCTGTGCCTTTACCTGTGGCAGGCGTCCCTGTCCCTCAGTTACACAGCCAGAGTCTGTGCCTTTACCTGTGGCAGGCGTCCCTGTCCCTCAGTTACACAGCCAGAGTCTGTGCCTTTACCTGTGGCAGGCGTCCCTGTCCTCAGTTACACAGCCAGAGTCTGTGCCTTTACCTGTGGCAGGCGTCCCTGTCCCTCAG